CTGAAATCTACTCACAAGGCAATAATTTATACCAAAGACCACTGCAAATGTATAAAAAACTACTGAAGTTGCGCTGTAGAATTTTAACTTTCATTCCTGCAGAATTGTATCATACTCATTCATGCTGGTTTTCATCTATTTTCTTTTATTGTTTGAAGAGCACTGTGTGTTTTTAAAGTGCTATAGAAACAAAGTTGACCTTGATGTATAGATTTTTAAAATTACTTTTTCATGAGCATTTTCAGATTGAAAATTTGTCAGGGAAAAATCCACGTTGGGACTTGCAGGGACGAAATTTTGATTTCAGAAGTGGGGGGGACACAGCAGGCTTGTGCGGATTTGGGGTGGGGGGTGTTATGTAAAGACCCCTTGACACGTCACGTGCCCATCTCAATAATTGTTCCATCCTCAATATATATATATATATATATATATATATATATATATATATATATATATATATATATATATATATATATATATATCAAAGTTAAAAAATTTACAACTCTATTATTATTTTTATTTATTATCATTATTGAAGTGCAGTTTTGGCTGTTGACAATTGATAGGCCATTGTATTTATTGTTTTGGGTCTTTTTTTATTGTTTTTGGTGCAACATTTTCTAACAGGGAGTGAGATTCCTTTTTTATTTAATTTTTGTTTGTTATTTTTATTCATTTAGAAGTTCTGGTTCTGGACATTTCAATGTTAAATGAAGGTTTCTTTGTTGCATTTTAAAGGGTGTACTTGCATTATTATGATATATTAACATTATATTAGTGGTTATTTTGGTCTAGATAATGTTGACAATATCGTTTATCATCAACAATTTGTTGGACAAAATATCGTCCAGCAAAATGTGTTACTTTCCCAGGCCTAATCAAAAGTATAAAAATTATTTATACATAAATGGTCCTCCTGAGATCTGGCCGTTTGTTCATTTGCTGTGTTAGAGGACAAGCTGAACTAATGTTTTACACATGATCATCACCCTAACATTTGAGTGTATAAAAACATATTAAATATGTTTTTCCCCTTAAAAGTGTTTAAACAGTTGTTGCATTTCAACACACAAAAAATAAATGGAAAAAATAAGATAAATCTAATGAAAAGTGTACATCTTTGACATTAAGCTTAAAAAATCTGTTGACGATGATGATACTGTTCATTTTTCAGAGCTTTTTAATGTGAAAATATGCATTGCAATAGATAAGTTTACAATAAAGTTAAATGATAAAAGTTTTGAAGTTACACTTCTACTACTACTACTACTAGTAATAATAATTATGATGATAATAGTAATAATAAAAAAATAATTATTATAATAATACGAATAAATTGTGTCAGAGGAGTCAGTTATGTGGAGGAGATGAGTTTGTAAAAGTTAGTTTTGAGTATGTTTGTGAAGGAGGAGGTGAGTCTGAGCTTAATGCAGGTCTGTCACATGTTCCAACTTACGTTTTGACTTTGAAAGAAGTCTCTTATATCCACTTTTCGTTTTCTTGACATGCTGCCTCCTGGCTGTGCCTAACTACCAAAGACTCACAAATGAACACTTATTCAAATGTTATGTAATGGAAGCTGAGCTGAGCTCTGATATTACACAGCGTCTAGTTGACGGTGACTCAGTACCGGTGTTCCCTAGCGGCTCCAAACTAGCAAAACAACGTGAGCACGTTCTGACTGTTTGCAACTTGAGTGACAGCAGCAACAGCCAATAATACGTTAGCAAGTATCAGCAGAGCCAATAGATTAGCTTTTGGGCGGGTCTAATAGTAAAGCGGTTTCCGTTTCGGTCCTAGTGCTCAACCAAATCCATTTAATGGAGCGTAATATTGTTTTTGGACGGAAAAAAGTGCAGGGGACCAAAACTGCCTTTTGAAAAAGTGGGGGGGACATGTCCCACCCGTCCCCCCCCCCAAAATTACGTCCCAGGGGACTTGATGTGACTAGCTGTTAGCTCCTCAATCCCATCAGGTTATTTTTATATTATCAGCATCCTCTGAAGCTGCGTAAAAGCTCCCAAATAAACTTTAAACAAATGTTCCCCCCGCTACATACTTTAAATCTTACAATTCAGGTGGAAAAAAGCTACTTTTAATGACATCTGGTGCACAGATGCACAAAATAAACAGCTCACTTCTTATTGCATCATAGTCCCTCTTGTCCCTATAAGTGGCAGCGGGGGACTTTCTGTCCAGGTTTCTCTTTAAATGCTCCACGTTTCTCGTGGTTTCAAATGACATTTAATTATTTATAACGGTCACCGCCCACTTCACAGGGAACACTTTCTAGAGACGAACGCTAACAGATTTGTGCAACCCCGTCATCAAAGATTCTCCACCAGCTGTCATAACACTTATTTTACCACCAACCGCCGGTGGTGCCAGGATCGCAGGAAAAAGAAGTGTATTTTGGCAGCTCCACTGCAGGAGATTCTTTTGAAGAGAGAATTGGTTTTGATGCATCAAACTGGAGTGGCTTTAGAGTTGAACTCAGCACAATCCGTGGAGAAATAGTCCTGCTTTACACCAGAGAAAGGCTGAAACTGAAAAGAATGCTTGTTCCCTAATGGGGGGAAACAGACATAAATACAATTATTTCCTTAAAGTAGAATTAATGGTGCATTAATGATCATGGCACTCTGTTTGACCTTATTACTCCAGATATTGATGTGAGTAATAAGGATTTATATTTTTTTTCTTGTTTTTTTTTTTTTGTGCCAAAAGTGCCCTGAGGCAGGTTGGAGCAGCTGGATGGAGGGATGAAGAAGATGTCCTCAGAGATGGAGCCAATCTCTCTTCTAACTGTACCTCGATAAAGGAGTTGAGGTTTGGTTGGTCACATGGAGAAACTTCAGGGGGTTTTCTGCCTTTTCACAGAGAGGACATTGCATCAAGAAAATGAGGATTTTTACATTTTTTATAATTGAGCCCCCTCTGGGTTATGGGATGATCCATCATCTAAGCCTGAGTGTTCCAGAGAATGTGAGGGCTTATTTTTATTCCCATTAGGAAACAATACCCAATAAGAAATAGAACTGGTCTTGCCAGGTCATTTTTGTAGACATTTATGTGATTTTAAAAGCCTTAAATTATCTTTGACAGTTTGAAAAAGTTAAAGCTCAGATCTCAATTTGGAGTCATAGCTGCTGTTTTCTTACAATAAAAACAATTTTTAATCCTTAAAAGTCTGGGACTTTTCTTAGTGGAATTTGCATGTCCTCTGTCCACTGCAGCTTCCTGTCACAGTTCAAATCCATTTACTGTAAGTTACCATAAATAAGACTGTGCATTGTTCTCTGGTGTTTTATCCATCCTTCAAACAAGAAGGAACAAAATATACAAATATTTAAGCGTTGGAGTTTGTGCTCTGTGAGGAAACAGCTGGAGACTGAATTGTTTCTGCTTCTCTTGTAAATACATCAAATTTAAAGGGAGAGTTTTGAAAGATTTAGACTCAGACAATGAAAATAGTAAGCATGTAATCACACTATTACAAGATCTTATGTAATCACTGGCTCTCGGATACTACCACATCACATTTTTGCTCCATTTCTGCAAATTTGAAAAATTTCTAACCATTTTTGTGTTGCAGCTAAAGTCAGTTACCCACGGTGGCCATCTTGAATTAGGTTGAATTAAATTTCAGAGCTGATTCTGAATCACCGGTGATACCTAATGCATCAAGAAGCTTAAGATCATATTTGGAGCTTTTTGGGTTAAAGTAAAAGGGTTACATTTAATGTATCCAAGTGGCTCCATGTTTGACTCCATGACCAGACCATCTGAACCCAACCAAAGTACCTTTCACCTTTTGTTGGATAAACATCAACAGAAGAAGGATGAAACAAAAATGTTTTGTTTAAATGCATACTATGCATCCTTTTCATATTTTAAATCACTGTACCCAGTACGAGCTGAAATCTTTACACAGTTTTTGAAAAGTCATTCAGACCTCCACTGCTCCCTGTGGCAAGAACAACGCATTTGCAACTTCAGAGTGGCTGTCACCTGTTGGTCTTGGAAAAAAATTGAGCAAACATGCCATCACTGGAGTCTGCTTCCAGCACTTTCCTGCATTCTTTAGATTGTGAACAGCTGATTTGTTTAATTTAGTGAAGAACCGATCCACTAATAAAGGTTGAGGAGACATTGCAGCAGTTAGATTATGGTAGATAAGATGGTGGAGATCAGTTTTGCTGTCCCTCAGTTCAACAAAGCAGAAACTCCCTGAATTGTGCAGTTCTAAGTTCACTAATAAAAAAGTGATCCAAGGCTGAATGCTTACTGATGAATGCACTTTCATTTCATCTCACAATTTCAAATCACTCTGGCAAAGAGGTTTGGAGAACTGCTGACATCAAAAGTTGCTGTAAGTCATGGACATAATTTCTGTTTTTGGGGGGACATGCCCCCCCCCCCCCCCCCCCCCCACTTTTTCCAAAGTCAAGTTTTGACCCCTGCACTTTTTACCATCCAAAAACAATATTACACTATTTTAAATCGACACTGGTTGAGCTCTAGGACCAAGCAGAAAACAACCATTTGTGTTGAAGCCTGTTTCCTATTAGAACATACAGATACCATACCCCCCCACCCCCCACCCCCTTCTGAAGTGAAAATTACGTCCATGCTGTAAGTCAAAGGATACTTTTATTACACTGCCATGCAAATGTAATTTTTATTTCTCTTTTCAGCCGGGGATGTCCTGTTTAATGATGCCGGACAGTTTATATTCAGTTGTGACTCAGCCACTGTGGAGCGCGCCAGCCTGCAGGTTACTGTCATCGCTGTGTCATCTCGTATTTTAGTGAAAATGCGTGTGTGTGTGTGTGCGTGCGTGTGCGCGCGCGTGCGTGCGCGCGCGCGCGCGTGCGTGCGTGCGTGTGTGTGTGTGTGTGTGTGTGTGTGTGTGTGTGTGTGTGTGTGTGTGTGTGTGTGTGTGTGTTGGGGCAGGTCTAGCCCAGTGACTGGTCTAGCCTGAGTGCGCGCCACCTCCCCCTCCATCGGTGCGTGTGCGCGAGTGTCCGCAGCCGCTGCTCTCCGGACGCGCAGCAGAACCATCGCCAAACTTTGACGCGCTCCACCGAGAGAACAAAACAAGCAGGACTGAATTATAAGTGAGGGGAAATATAAACATATTTTTAAAAATCCCAGGATTTTGGGGAAATTCTGGCTGATAAAGGTGAGTATCCAGCGAGATGCGCTTCCGCTGTGCGTTTTTTAATCTTTGTCCCCGGTGTGTTTTATTCTAATGAGCGTGATTTAAATGAGTCTCAAGGGTCAGATTGTTCTCCGGGTAAATAATGCACATAAAGAAGATCACATGCTCTTTTTAAAATCTCATTTAATTTCTAGAGAGAGATGCTTTATTTTGCTCGCCTAATTTAGTGCCTCATTAGTAATTTCGTTTCCATTTACAGGATACATTAAACAATTGTCAGAATGGAAAACACTCCAGTAGAAATCTTTAAAGAAGAAAATAGGTGCCTGCCCACTCCGTTGGAGGACTGTCCGGTAAATTCTTCTGTTTGGGGATCGGGAGCCCCGGACAGCCGAAATGTGACCCGCGATAATGAAGAATGGGAGCAAGAGAGCATGTCCCCCATCATCCCCATCATCACTGCGGTGTACTCCGTGGTCTTTGTGGTTGGCTTATTGGGCAACTGCCTGGTCATGTATGTCATCATCAGGTGAGGTCGTTCAACACATTTTCTTCAAATGTTGCAATAAAAAGCAGAATTTGACCATTTGTATGGGGTGCCAATTGTAATTGTTTAAAGTTGCTTTTAGGAAATTACAAAGCTGTGTCTAAATACTTAAACATAAAAGCACATAACTATTTTGAAAATGGACGTTCAAAATAAACAGTAACGCAAAGCTAAATCTAAACTTTTAAAGTCAGATGTTATTACACAAAGTTATATCTAAATAATTTAAATTCCGAATTTAGTTCAACCTAAATATTTACAATCAAAAATAGCCAAAATAAAATCAAAACATGACTGAGGTCAGTGTATTTATCTAACATACAAATTCAGAAGTAGCCTATCAAAATAAAAGCAGAATGAAGAGAAGCCCCATCTGTCTTGTCAGAGTACTACATTCACCTTAATAATTGATGAAAGGTTAAATGGACACACAATTCTACCATCAATTGAACTCTAAGATATGAGGTCTCTTCACTATACTTTAAATAATATTTTTTCATGTTGTAAAAATTACAATTAGAAAGTAATTTGATATATTTGAACTTCATTTAGGTTTGATTAAATATTTAGATGTCACTTTCTATATTTAGATTCACTACTGAAATTGTTGGTTTAAAGAGCAAGTCACATCAAAATCCACTTTTTTAGCTGATAACTATTATAAATGGGTGTCTAATAATGTTGTAGACATGTGTAGTTATTATTTTTGCATTTTGACGCATTTTCTTTGAAAACTAAATTCTGTCTAAAAATGTCAGTCTAGCACCCTCTTCATCTCAAAAGTATAGAACAGTTTATTTTGAGTCGGTTTTAGCCACTGGCTAACGAGAACGATGCTACGTATCCAAGAACAGTACTACGTAGCAGCTCTTTGGCTGTAGGTTATAAAAGCACCACGGTCTCAACCAGCCTTGTAGCAGTCGGGGCTCAGATTAGCCGCAAGTGAGTTGTGCTGTAGTTAGCAATAGCATTGTGTCAGAATCTGTAGTTAGCAATAGCATTGTGTCAGAATCCCAGCAAAGCTTCTAGTATTATAGTCATTTACGTAGTTCTAGTAGCTTGGCTGTTAATATTGTAGTTAAGTGTTCTTTACGTTACTCTTTCACCAACTTGATGGAGTTTGAACCGGTGTTCTGAGAAAACGTCCTACTTTGGCAAAACGTCCTACCCGTAGGATAATTTGACGGTGTTTGACATGACAAAAACCCTAACCCTTACTCTAACCCTAACCCAAAAAAATCAAGTATCAACGTCAATAAAAAGTACTAATACTTACTACTTACCTATTTTCCTGCAAATATGACAACGGAGTAGCATTCCCTTTTTGTGTTGTGCGCATGCGCGCACATGCTCAGGAACAACGGGTAGGACGGTTTACGGGGTAGGAGAAATTCCCAGAACACCGGGTTATGCTGGTTTGAAGAGCATTTCACAAATTAATCCAAACCATTCCAGTAATTAGCTGGATCCCGCTGACTGCTGCTTCCTCAAAACGGAGATTTTGGGCCCAATTTGAGGTGAGTAAGCTAAATAGTTACTTTTAACAGCTTCTAAAGATTGTTCCCTACCTATAATTTTGCAGCTATATTTGTTATACTTATAAACGCAAAGTAAGAGAGACGTGGATGTGGTTCACGTAATTTAGACAATCAGTCCACACTGCCGCAGGCTCGAAGCGAGTGATGTGTGTGATGATGTCACAGGCTGGTTCGGGTTAAGTTTTTGTGCCAGTTAGTAATCTCAGCACTGATGCAGAGCAGGGGGGACACTGAGGAGCACCTCCTCCTGAAGCAGACCTGACCCGGTTCTGAATTGGTGCTGAGTCCAGTTCTTATTAGAACATGTCTGATTCTGGACACTGAATTAGCTCTGAGAGCAGTCCGATCACTCACCAGCCGTGTTATAAAGCACATATATTAGACCGTTTGTTTTGTACATGATGCTAAACTCTCACAACAATGTGATATTATTTTTTTCAGGCTAAATCTGCCTAAGACTGATGTAATTCTCCACCAGCCTACACCAGTCCAGGCTAGAAGTCTTGCAGGTGAGTTATTTTTTACCATCTGTCTTTCTTTACCTTCTAGATTTAACAATATGTAATTATTTTAGCTTATTGTTGCACACATGTTGCTGCTCTTAAAAACAACTATAAATATATTTGCTGTTTCTTTATATTTCACATAGCCTCCCAGCAGCAGTGTGTCTGACACTGGGACCATGATGGGAATTCCACCCTGAGCAACTTCTACACTCCAGGTGTGGTGGAGAGCTTCTGAGCAGCTTCCATCTGAATGACAGGACAAGCTCTATGAACTGATCCAGGTAAAAACATTCTAAATAATAATAGTGTACTCTGTATTCTGTTTGTTTACCTTACATCTCAGCCTGACTGGTCACCACTGGAGAGGAGTATCTTCCCAGACTCACACTAACATCCCGTTTTACCTCAGGGCCTCCTGATCTAACAGAAAAACCTGCAGCTCCATCCTTGCTCTGCTTTCCACATGTTTCTCATCATCTCTGGAACCTTCCTCCCACAACACTTTGATGTTATATATAATTTAATTTTTTCAGGCTAAATGAACCCAAGTAATCTGCTGTCAGACTGACTGCTGCAGCTACAAATGGTCCAGACTAACATGAAGCCTTGCAGGTGTAGTAAAGGTGAGTTGTTTTTAATCATTATGTAATCTTCATTACCTTTGACTTTTAACATCATCTGTGTTTTTGTTTCATAGCTTATTGCTACATGTGTGTTGCTGCTGTGAGCTTGGAGCTAGATTACATCATGACATCATGAAAGAGGCTATTGATTCTGGTCCTGTGACACTTGGTGGTGACGTGTGAGCTGATTCACCTGGTAAACAACTTTTACATTAAATATTTTGTTTTTTTTTCTATCGAAAGTTAATTAACTGATAACCTGCATTATTGTAGGACACTCAGCAAAATATGGACGTTACACCATGAGGCAGGCACGCGTTAATATTCTATAAGAGCACATGAGGTGAGCAACACCACAGAGTATCATTATTGTTGTTATTATTGTACACTGTTCTGGATTTGTTTTCTTTCTGCATCTCATCATTAGCGTGGGTGATCACCTGATAACTCCTGTCATCTGGTTATGAAAGCATGAGTGTGTCCTCACACACCTGTAACCTATCAGCTCATCTGGCAGAATAGAGAGAGGAGACAACACCACATCATCTGTTCCTGGAAAGCCTTCAGCCATCCTTCGATGAGTGAGAACCTCCATAAGCTCTGTCTCTTGTCTGCCTACAATTATTATAATAAATATTGTGTTTGACAAGTTCTTTGTGTTGCCAAAATGTCTCATTTTAATTCCAGTTTTTATATTTTAATGGATATTTATAAATTACACGTACTGAATTATCGCTTTGTTGCACATTTAACTAGCTCTACTGTGATGATTTAAATTAGCACCTCACTGTTAAAAGCTCATTTTAAACTCAAGCGTGTTTAAATATTTATGGACATGAACAAAAACAGGAACTATATAAATTGAGATTTATTTCATTAATATAACAAATAACTGTTTAGAGGAGGAAGGAATCATTCAAAGGCACATGTTTCTGGAAGCTCCTGATCCCGATGACAGCACCAGAGGAGACCCAGTGGCTGACACCAGAGGATCACCTACGATCAAGAGAACAGCTGGTATCAGTAAATAATGAAATCAGGGCAATTTTAGGTGGACATTTGTGATTGTGTAACATAAATGAACACATTACAGAATAATTTTCTCATGGGGTATTTTTATAACTTTCTCTACAGCAGATAGTAACTTTAGCCCAGGGTATGTGGCCGTGTCCTAGAGAGCTGCTATCGACACGTTTCAGTGGTTTTTCCTGCTTTAACATGTTAGATTAGCTGTTCAGCAGCTCGGCTATGTGCTGCTGATTAAAATAAGGTGTGTTGAAGATAAACCTCTAAAACATGCTGGATAACAGCTCTCTAAGGCCGTGGAGCCAAACCCTGCAGCTAACCTAATGCTATGGCTACTTACCATTCAGAGCTGGTTCTGTTGGGTCGGCTCTGGTGGTTTCAGGCAACTCACAAGCTCAAAACAATAAAGCCTGATTCATGCTTCTCCGTCAGCTCCGCAAGGGACAGACACGCACGGATTGACGGAAGCGTTTTGCTCTCATACTTCTCCGTCTCCTGGAGAGTGTTGCAAAGCAATTGCCCGGCAGGACAACAGAGGGCATAGCGCTGTTCTGTGGTATTCTGTCATGTATCGGTCCAAGATAGTGTGTTTATATTGTGTTTTTTTAGTGTGTTTATATTGTGTTTTTTTGTATATAAGAGACTTTTTAACACGGACAAATTTGTCTCTCATTCTCCTCCACCTCTTCATGCGCTCTCCACCTCTAAACCCACGTTTCCTGTCATTTCCGTCCACAAATAAAACACTTGCTGCGCATCTTTTCACTCCTCCAGTCACGGGGAATTAAACGTTCATGTTTTTAGAGTTTTTTCGTGAGGTATTCTTCAAGCTTCTCCGTGTCTGCTGCTTGTTATCCTCGGCTCTCTTTATATTTTTGAGGGCGCAATGGCGGCGCTGTAAACAACAGCGGCGTCCTGACCAATCACAAGCTTGTGTTGTCCGTTTCGACTGACGGATGTTTAGACAAGAGAGCTCGACTCCGTCTGTCCTTGCGGAGCTCTCCGGCAGGCCCACAGGGACATTGCGTGTCTCCGCACTGACGCAGACGGAGAAGCATGAATCAGGCTTAAGGCTCAGGTCCGCTTGTCTCCTCCAAATAGACTTGGTCCCTTTCTTCTCGACTGTCTGGGTAAGGAGGGGAAGAAACGTCCTCCACTTCTAATGACTGCTCAGAGTGAAAAAAGCTAGCTTCGTCTCGTTACCCATCCATCTTCATCACTGCCGTGGCTCCGCCCTCTCGGTCCGTGAGGCAACGCCTACCAATTTTGCAATTTTCAAAATTGATATGTGGTACTCTGAGGCAGGGTTGACTGCCCCTTTAAGTTTATATACCAATTGTTTTTATTTCAATGTGGCTTTTTATTAGTAAATTTAACACTGAATATTTAGGTTTAAGTTTTCAATGTTTAGATATGCATTTTTTTATATTGAGACATATATTTGATTCTAAATATTTGAGTTGATGTTTATAGCTTTTGATCTGTTTTATGTTTAAATGTAATTTTATATTTTTAGATTTCATTATAAATGTGTACATGAAACATTTTATCTTTAGATGCTATTTGAAATATTTTTATATAACTTTAAATTTTACATTTAATCTCAACATGTAGGTTTAAGTGTTTTTTAGATTTCTGTCTAAATATTTAGCTAAACTTATTTTCGTAAGTGATCTAATAAAAATATCAATGTACATTTTAATATCAAGATTTAACTCCATATTTTTACATTTCATTCTCAATATTTAGGTTTAACTTTAGATATTTAATTCAAATCTAAATATTCATATTTAGCATTACCATATATAGCTAAATGTAATCAAATATAGCTTTGGTATATTATTTTGCGGTCAGTGTCACATAATTTTGTGCGAAACTTCAGGCAGTTGTTACACAAAAATATTTTTGGGCCTAAAACACTAAAGAAAAGCATATCTTTGTTTTTAGAAAACAAACTTCAGCTTGAACACTTTGTTTCTATGTTGGTGTCATTGTTCTTGGATGCACTCTGATACAAAGATATTCTTTTCTCACAGATGTAACTTGCTTCCAAGACAGGAAAATATTATGATTAGTAGATCTCATCACCAAAAAACAAAAAAACAAAAACAAAAACCTAAGTGGTATTTAGGGAAAGAAAAGGTTAAGATGTCAAGTTTAATTCCCATCAGCATAGATCTAATTAGTCCTTAATGTGAGACAGACAATAACCAGTTTAATGACTCAAAACTCATCCCCCCTAAACAAATTTTACATAAATCTCTTAAAGTCAGGTTTTATGATAAATGTAATTGAAACCAGCTGTGCTTCATCAAATTGTGAACCCTCCTGTACCTCATTGGAGATTTTTTATGATCTGAGAGAGACACAAATCTTGTTTGATGTTATGTGATGCAGCACTGCCTCACAGAACGTTTTAGTCCACGAACAACAATTAACTCAAATCAGGCCAATTGCTTCGCTTCTTTTTAGGTGGCAGTTTCACCAGTTTGGTTAGAGAGAAGATTACTTTCAGTTGCTCAGGGGAGAATGATTTTGCTGAAGGTAAAACAGATTTTAGGATGAATTAATGTAAACAAATATCTGGAATTACACTAATAACCATAAAACTGATGTTTTGTTGACTATTGTTTTATTTAACTGTTTGTGCATTTGAAAGCTGTTTTATCTGTGTGTCAGTTACAAAAAAAAATCACATTCAGCAGTTTTTTATGATCTCTGACAGACTTGTTAGCATCTCCAGCCCCAATTTCAACCATATTTTGTTTATGAACACAATAAGTCCAAAGCCACAACTAGAAAGTTTGGATTTTTTTTTGTTTGTTTGTTTGTGGAAGACAGTGAAAACAACTTGATTTGAAGTTAAAGATGGGAGGAAATAAAGACGACAAAGTTGGATGTTCTTCTACTGAGTGCTGCAGAGGTGATGAGCTGTTCTATCTGTAAATCTGAACTCTTCCATGGATTTAATATTTTCAAATTTAAGGGAGATTTTTTTCTTTCACACCTATACAAAGACTAAAAGTCACTTTTGGGCACAGGAAAACTGACTTTTTTTGCTCACTTTATGAGGTGATTATTTTCTTATCCCCATCTTAGGACTTCCATTAGCTTCTGATTGCCATGGAAACAAATGTGTTGCAACGTCGCAATGTGTGGAAGACTAAAAATGAAATCATGGTAGAATTCATTTATTTTTTATGAGTCATGTCTGAAAACACATCAAGAGAACACTAGAAGCTGATTAGTAAATTTGAGTGTTCGTGCTCTGAACAAGAGGGTTGCACGTGACCTTTGTTTGTGCCTTGATCACTCTCAGGTCTGATGAAGATTATTGTGACTCAGAAAATGTAAAAAGAAATTAATTTTCTAACTGCGGCACAAGTGGTGCTCAGAATTTCTTTGGTGCAAGAACAAATCTTGGTATCAGCTATTTAATTCAAATAAGTTAATTAATCGCCATGTGCTGAATCGTGATGTAAAGCTGGAGTTCAATCTCATAATAATCTTGGATCAAGACAGAAACTTGAAACATAAAGCAATTGAGAATGTTTCAGGAACTGCCGTAAAAACTCGAGTAGACATCATCCATTTTTGCCCACTTATCTGGCTTCGGGTCACAGGGGTAGTAGCCTAAGCAGAGAGGCCCAGATTCCCCTCTCCCCAGCCACTTGGGCCAGCTCCACCTGTGGAATCCCAAGGCGTTCCCTGGCCAGCCGAGAAACAGTCCCTCCATCGTGTTCTGGGTCTTCCTTTAGGTCATCTTCCTTTAGGCATCTCAGCGTGCCTGGAAAACCTCACCAGAGATGCGTCCAGGGGGTATTCTAACCAGATGCCTGAGCCACCTCAACTGGCTTCTTCCGATGTGGAGGAGCAGCAGGTCTTCTCCGAACCCTTCCCGGATGACCAAGCTCTCACCCTATCTCTAAAGGAGAGCCCAGACACGCTGTGAAAAAAACTCATTTTGGCCGCTTGTATCCACAATCTCATTCTTTCAGTCACCACCCAAGCTCATGACCATAGGTGGAGTAGACAGTGATGATCAAATTGTGGCTACTTAAAGAGGATCAGCACATCTGAATCTGAGACCATGGTTCTCTACTGGAAAATTATGATTTGTCAACTCCGGGTTGGGAGAAAGGTCCTCCCCCAAGTGGAGGAGTTTATAGGGTAAGGAACTCGGACATCCAGGAGGGACTCGGAGTGAAGCTGCTGCTAGTCCACATTGAAAGGAGCCAGTTGAGGTGGTTCGGGCATCTGGTCAGGATGCCTCCTGGACTGTTTTAGGCATGTTCTGCTGGCAGAAGGCCCCCGGGTTACCCAGGACTACCTGGAGGAATATATCTCTAGGTTGGCCAGGGGAGTGTTTCCCAACCCTGGTCCTCAGTGACCACTGTCCTGCATGTTTTCCATGTTGCCCTTTCAAACACCAGTGTGTCTCTGCTGCCACACACCTGACTTAATTGAATGAATGATTAACCAGTATCTGCATCACTTGATGTCCTCCTGAGGAGCCAATGTAAATCAGGTCTGCTCAAGCAGAGACATGGAAAACTTGTAGGACAGTGGTCCCTGAGGACCAGGGTTGGGAAACACTGGGCCGGGAACGCTTGGGTGTCCCAGCTGAGGTGCTGGTGGACTTGGCCAGGGAGAGGATTGCCTGGGAGGCCCTACTTGGGATGCTGCCTCCATCTGCAGTACAACTATGAACTCTTCACTTAACCTCTCCACCAGTAGACAAGAAATTCAGTTGTGTGTTTTATTTTAATAGCATTTACGTGCAAAGGTCACCACTCCAGTACCTTCATTCCAAGCTCTCACCTTTTGTTTTGAAACTTTAAATTGAACTTTGTGGCTGAACTTTGCAAAAGCGAACCTATATAAAATGCCAAAGTGACTTAATGAAGTTTAAACAAGCTGATCACACGTGATCGTCAGCGAGCAGCATACTATACATGATAATGAAGTGTGAGTCAGACACATTGCATTACAGATTCAAGAAAACTTTGTGAAATAATGCACACTCCTCAACCCATAATGAGCTAGGAGGAAAGGTCTTCCTCGGAGACGTAGCAGCAGTAAGCTGTGGCTGAGGCAGTCTGAGTGGGTGGTTAGCTCATTTCATTTCTCAACGGGATTGCTTTGTGTTCTGCATGTTTAACAGGTACACAAAGATGAAGACGGCCACCAATATTTACATCTTCAACTTAGCACTCGCTGACGCCCTTGTCACCACCACCATGCCCTTCCAGAGCACAGACTACCTACTGAACACCTGGCCCTTTGGTGAGGTGGTCTGCAAGGTCTTCATCTCCATCGACTACTACAACATGTTCACCAGCATCTTCACGCTCACCATGATGAGCGTGGATCGATACGTGGCTGTGTGTCACCCCGTGAAAGCCCTGGATTTTCGGACTCCCATCAAAGCCAAGATGATCAACGTCTGCATCTGGATCTTGTCCTCAGCAGCAGGGATACCTGCTTTTGTTCTGGGAGGCACGCAGACCAACAGCGGTAAGGAGACGCTTTCACTGTCCCTGAATTGCCTCCCAAAGTTTCACTCCATTTTACACATCCTAGAGGTTTACATGTCCTAATCACATCTTTGGAGCAAAAGTATATTTTTATCAAGTCCATCAGTCAGAGAAGGGTTTTCCATTAGCAGCACACCAAGAGCATCATTACTGGAAATAAATGAAGTGAAAAATAAGAGCAAGATGTACCCAGCTGACTGCAGATTAGCTTTTTCCATAATAGCTTGTTAAATTGATGGTAGAACGGTGCAAAGTGGAGTTGTTTTTTTATGATCAAGCAAAAGTACTCTTCATAGTTTAAATATCATCTTCTTGCACCTTTCCTTCTGCAGACATCACTGAATGTGCCTTACAGTTCCCAGAACCTTATGGCTACTGGGACACGATGATGAAGATTTGTGTGTTTGTGTTTGCCTTCGTCGTGCCTGTGCTCATCATCACCGTGTGCTACTCCCTCATGGTTTTGAGGCTGAAGAGCGTCCGGATGTTGTCCGGATCACGGGAGAAGGACCGCAACCTGCGGCGCATCACACGGCTGGTGGTGGTCGTGGTGGCTGTGTTTGTGGTCTGTTGGACGCCCATTCACATTTTCATCCTGGTCAAAGCACTGGTGAACGTGCCTGAAACCACCGCCATTATGGCTGCGTACTTCTTCTGCGTGGCTCTGGGCTACACCAACAGCAGCCTCAATCCTGTCCTCTACGCCTTTTTGGATGAGAATTTCAAACGCTGCTTCAAAGACTTCTGCCTCTCAGCCAAACTGAAGGGGGACAAGGTGTCAGGGAGCAAGAAGATCCCCAACTCTGTTCGGGCAGCCGCTGTTCCCCTAGAGAACCCAGACGGGACTAGTAAACCAACATGACTAGCAGTGGAACTGTCTTCGATTTCTCACATTGGAAAAGAAGACTCACATGACCTGGGCTTAACACATGTCACTTCAGCAATGTAGACTGAAAGTTGGGCCACCTCATGTTTTCATTATCACCTGGGCTTTAAACTGTGCCAACACTGATGAGAAAAACTGTTCACTGTTTTCTCCTTTAAATCATCCAGAAATAATCATATTTTCGTCTTTCATGGGATTTAACTTTTCTAGTTGATGCTTGAAATTTGAGCAGACTAATAGTGATCAAAGTTAACCTTTGATGGTATTTTTTTTCCAGCTGAAAGCTATATGAAAGGCAGTGCTGCTTATTTAAGATGCTGACAGATACTAGAGATGCTAATTTACTGTAGGTCCATTACTTTTAAACTAAAATGTGCACTTTAAGAAAGTCTTAAATGTTTGGAGATCCAGGAAAGTCACTTCACTAAATGATATGAGGACTGACTTTCCACATATTCGATTATCATGATTAACTGTGTTAAAGTACTTAGAACATGACAGACAATGTATTACTCTGACATTTTTACTATGTGGGAAGATTTTTTTTTTCTTAGTGGCTGTTAACTGCCAGTATTACAGTAACATCCACAGCAGCCATAAACTTCATAACACTATGAATAAATGTCTTATCTTATTATATGTATTTACTCAAAGAAGTCATCACAGATATGTGGTGGCTGTGCTACGGGGCTAGTGTTATTTTGTTGGTAAACAGGAAAAGCGAGTGAATAATTCTTTTGTTTTGCTTATTTGTTGCAAAGATGTGAGTGTATTGTGACTGCTTCGGCAGTGAGTGACATCACTGATCAGTGCCAAAAGGCGTCCACAGACATTAATATCATTAAAAATGATTTATTCTGTTAAATTATGCAGTAATTTTAATTTGTTCAGGAGACAGGGATTGCAGCTGTTTTAATGTCAAATGCGGTGTTAAATGACCAAAAGAATCGTTGTTTTTTACAGTGCTCTGTGTGACCACAAAGCAACATGAATTACAGCGTTGTGAGGGTTTTCTCTGCATTTTTTTGGCATTGACGATTTAGAAATTTCTATTTTAAAGCAGCGTGAATGCAGCCTATTTTCTTTTATTTCTATTCCACTTCACCAGAAACTACACTTTTACAAACACCGGTTGTTAGGGCGATGTCTGCTGAAATAATTTCCGTCTGAATCACAACCAATCAGCGTGAGTTAACCACAAGTCCCGCTTGGCGACTACTGGGCCATTCCAAGTACCAGTTCAGCTACCTCACTGGTTCCTGAAATGGCCCTTAAAATGGTTCTTTAGTTCCAGCCCAGTGAAATGGAGATGTGCATGCCGTAAAGTTCCAGTAAAATTACCCTGACATAGGGCTGGGGGATATGTAGATATTTTTAAAATATCGATATAAAATCAAACAAGAAGCAAGTGACTCAGTATTTATATTGATATAAACCTGTGTATTTCTATAGTTAGCAGGAGCAGCTACAGCTATCCACTAGCTTGCTCCACTTCTAAGCAGTCATTACATGTATCTTCATGTCAATCAGGAAACCTCTGGGTCAATGTTCATTGCATTTGGCTTTGTGGTTTTTAATTATTTGGGGACGTTCGTTCATGTTGTAGCGAGCTTTTTCACCATGGCTGCTGAAGAGATTTGATTATCCTGCTTGAGATGGGTCAAAACCCTCCCCTGTGTAACCAGGAAATGGGTACCAAGAGCTGCTGATCTGCTGATGAATTCATGTATTCAATGTCTCAAGACAGCTTGAAGGGAGTTCACTTGTGAATATATATATCAAAATTCAGCTAAAAGGTATCGAAAAATAAGTTTCGGTCCACATTGCCCAACCCACCCTGAAGGTCCAATGAAATGGTCCTTTTGTTGAGTATCTCAGCAATTTTTATGATAATGTTTGCACTTATGGTTTTCCTGCTGTGAAGTCTCAAAATTCCTGCTGCGAAAATTGTTCATAAATAATGTCTTGAGAGGAATAATAAACATGTAAATCAACCGTATTGTAATTTCTACGATATTGAAAAAAAACTCCGAAATTTATTGAATCTGAAAGATAATTGAGCAAATTGTGGTAGAAAACACTTCACCTGTTTTGTGTTCATGATCATTTTGTTCACATATTTACCAAACGTGCCTTTAACTGTCCAGGAAGGTGTGTTTTTGGCAGAAAGAGTTGTGTTTAACAGATTTGTTTACTTGCTTGTTTGTTTTCTGTTTGACGTGCCATTGCTGGTTGTAGGAAACAACCGCTAACAGATATGTGCCAAAAGCTTTTTCGCCTCTGTGGAGTGTGTGAATGGTGCTGATTGGTCACAGTGAGAGAAAAAAGTGACTCACGGTGGACTTTGAAGTTGTGTAAGAGTCGGTAGAGGGTTAAAAATAGACTGCATTTAGTTCTGTCATAGCAACTCTTGTGGAGGTAAAAGAAGTGAAATACTGGACTTAAATGTGCATTTAAAATTTGTCAGAGGGCTCTCTATCAGTTTTGACCCTTGTATTGTGTCCAAACTGATAAGTTGTTTCATTTACATAACAACATTCATTCATCACATGTGCTGTTTATGTTTTTTTTATTATTATTATGATTATGATGCATACTCTCATTATGCTGTAAACTGCTGTGCAATCTGATCACACGATCACACCAAGTTGTGCATCCACACTACTTAATAGCACCTCTAAAGGAAGGGTTGCGTGTTTGAAAAACTTTTATTTTGTAAAGATGACAGAAAAGTACATTCTTGCACAAACTTGTTTTAAATAAACGGTACGTGTAGCATGTTTATCATTGTTGCTGTGATTTTTTAAAATACCATCAGAAGCTAAACATGCTTGATGTACTGTGCTGTTACTCTGAGTGTGCTGCAAACATTTGTGTAAAACATGTAAAATTTATCTTGTCTCACAGCTTTGAAAAGATATATTTTTATCATCTGGCTCCTACATATTAGAGATAAAAATAGACAACAATAAGATATTCTATAACATTAAAAAGGACATTATTGTATCAAGCTATACTGTGACTGATGCATTGATTTTTACCTTTATTTTGATTTGTCTGTCATTTGTGTGGAACATGTATTGATCTTGTCTGTAAAGTTATTAATATTGATGCAAGTTTAATAAATACTCTGAAATTGACAAACTCATTGTCAGCTTTCATTTTTAAGAACCCTGACAACCTTCATGTTTCAGACAATTTTTAATAAATGATTTTATATACATGAATTATTTTTTATGTTATTATTAATATTTTGCATTTACCTTTGATAAATAAAACAGGTTTCATTTAGTAGTTGATGTAAATCCCAATTTCTTTTCTTTTCTTTTTTTTTGGTGAGTTTGCTGCTCTACCTAGAGGACAGAGCGAGTAACTACAAAATATGTCAACAAAATTATTCAAGAATGAATTGTTGCATTTAGAAAATACAAAAATTATACGCAAATGAGGGCAGAAATGCTGTTTTATTTCATGTTTACTGTTGCGAGTTTTCTGCTATTAAATATTTACAGTGATAGAAATCTGTTGTAACCTTTCTAACCAAAACAGTGTCCGAAAGAGGTTTAAATCTTAAAAATAATCTCATTATAGCAGTGTTAAATTTTCTGATTTCGTGCCTTGCAAACATATTTTTAAGGATTGTAGGTGTTTAGTTACACATAAAATGTGTGCATCTTTATGCGCTTCTTAAATGACATAAAATATATTTTAAAATTTTAAATTTGATTGAAATTGTGTCAACGTTAAAATAAATGCGATAAACTGGTACAAAAGATAATAATAAAGAGAAAAAAAAAAGAAATCAGTAATTTTTCCAATCAATATTGTATGCCTGTGTAAGAGGGCGTGGATAGAACGTGTGCACGTTACCAAATTTACGTCACCTTCGTCTTTTCCGGGTTTTTCCTCAGCTAAGTTTCGGACTCTCGCAGTCATAAATATTAGATTTTCTCAGACAATTTATACTTTTACCTCACCGACATGAATCGTATCTTTGGCAGAGGTAAAGCCAAAGGCCCGCCACCCAACTTGACGGACTGTATAGGAAGCGTAAGTACCGTACACAACTTTTTAGACGCTTTAAACAGCGTAAACAAAACACGAACTCCTGCTAACTGTTAGCTAACTTCAGAACCATCAAACAAAACATGCCGACTCTTTAACTCGTTACTTGTTGAATAAGTTTCCCTGACGTGATTTAAATTATAAATGTGTTAGCTTTAATGTGGTATTGTTTTATTTAACGTAATACATATATAACGTGTCATTTGGTAAATAAGTTAACACAATACTTGCTCTGTTTGCCATGGGGTAGTGACTCAGCGTTACGTTAATTGACGTAATTCTAACCACTTGACTGCTAAATAAGAAAAAAATGTCTGTGGGATCTAGCGGACAAAACCAGTTGTGCTGGTCGTTGAGCATGCGCAGGACTGGAATTAGCTGTCTGGTGGAAAAACAAAACAAGATATTTATTTATTTATTACCCAAAATGACTAAATCTGAGTATTTGTGTACATGTCCAGATGACAATAAACTGATTAGTAGTAATTGTGTCTCTGATGATATAATTTCTGCAAAACTTTCTAAAATTCTTGTTTCATGCTTGTAGGTTGATTCTCGGGCAGACTCCATTGACAAGAAAATCGCCAGACTAGATGCTGAACTTGTCAAATACAAAGATCAGATGAAAAAGATGAGAGATGGGCCTTCAAAGGTGAGATCTTCTGAGATACTCATACTAAAATGAGTTTTTCTTCTGAAAAACAAGATTTCTCCCTATTCCATAAATTGTATGTTATCAATGTATAAGAAACTCTAAATTAGAAATGTCTGTTAATTTTTTAGCGTTTTGTTCATTTTTTTTCTAACATTGTCTACTATTTAAATGTTTCTTAGAACATGGTGAAGCAAAAGGCAATGAGGGTCCTGAAGCAGAAGAGGATGTAAGTTGGATATCTTTTGTATAAAATTGCTAAATTAGTCTTTGAATTTGAGCTTTAAGTGTATTCCTACTATTAGATTTTCTGCCTTCACTCATTTTTTTTATTTATTCTTTACTTCAGGTATGAAAGCCAGAGGGATAATCTCATGCAGCAGTCGTTCAACATGGAACAAGCAAACTACACAATCCAAAACCTCAAAGACACTAAAACCACAGTAAGACATGTTCTACTGGGAATTTAAACATAGAAAGTTCGGTTTATTACTAATTCTATTATTTGTTTTTAGGTTGACGCCATGAAGGTTGGCCTCAAAGACATGAAGAAGGCATACAAGAATGTGAAAATCGATAAGATTGAGGTATTTTGATTTTAGACAGCAGCTGTTCATTTAGTGACGTTTTATTTATTTCTGATTAAAGAAAGAAGAAGCAGTAGCTCAGGTGGTAGAGCGGGTTGCCTCATGATCGGAGGGTCATGGGCTCGATTCCAGCTCCCGCCAGGGGTATCCTGCTGTTGTGTCCTTGGGCAAGACACTTCACCCAACTTGCCTGTGTTAGTGGTGGTCAGAGGTCACTGTCAGACCTCCCCAGGGCGGCTGTGGCTACAAGTAGCTTACCATCACTAGCAGTGTGTGAATGTGAGTGTGTGAAACCGTCTTTGGGGGTCTTGAAAAGCGCTATATAAGTTCAATGCATTATTATTATTATTAAAATGTTTAGATTAATCAAATTACTTTTTTTTTTTAAGATTTTGATTTCTTTTTTGAAATAAGGATATTCATGATCAGCTGGAGGACATGATGGAGGACGCCAATGAGATCCAGGAGGTCATGAGCAGAAGTTATGGCACTCCTGAAATCGACGACGATGACCTGGAAGCAGGTGAGACAAGCTTAGCGAAGACATCTTGCAGCTTTTATTTGATCTATAGCAGGGACAGCAGTAGCTCGGAGGTAGAGCGGGTTGTCCAGTACCCTATTTTTTTTTAACATAGCCCAATTTAAAAATTGTTGTTTTACGTTGAAACGGACATGTTCCAGCTAGCAACTCTAGCTCGCTGGTGTTGGTGGCATCACTTCCGTTGATCCGTGGGCATCAGAAGTGATGTCACCCTCTACTGCCTGCATCCTCCTTGGCGATGAGGCTGTCCCACTGTAGCTCATCACCACCAGCGTGTGTCTGACAGACTGTGTTGTGAAGTGCTTTTGGGGGTTGTAGAACCCTAAGAAGGTGCTATACAACTACAGGCCATTTACCTAATTGTAGATTTTATTTTAATTCCTGAAAGTTGTTTTGCTCGTGGACAAAGAGTTTAAAAGAACGTTCCTGCAGATTGAGGTAGAAAACTGAATTGTGGTTAGAGACATTGATCTACTGCTATGTCCCCAGAGCTAGATGCTCTGGGAGACGAGCTCCTGCTGGATGACGACAGCTCCTACTTGGACGAAGCTGCCACCGCTCCTTCCATCCCAGAGGGCGTTCCCGGTGACAAGTCAACCAATAGGGTATGTGACAGATTTCAACATTTCTACCCAGCTTCACAACATAGTTCATTAATGTATTACTTTTGTTTTTTCAGGATGGCGTGTTGGTAGACGAGTTTGGCCTTCCTCAGATTCCTGCTACATAAAAGAGCATTTTTAACAAACGTGCTAGTTTTACATTTATCATAGCCTGTTTTGTATTTATCTCACACTCCTGGCCTTTGAATGCAGCAGTGAAATCCAAAGCTTCTTCTATCCATTGAACAATGAAAATGTAAAATCAGGTGTCTCGATGAAAGCTGTTTCTGTCTTTGTCTGAATGACGGCTGGAATTGGGATTCTCCTAAACTGTACAGTTTCTGAAGCAGCAAACTAAATAAATTATATTTTTCAAACCATTCATAACTGTGTGATAATGAAGTCATTCTGATCTTGTTTCTGGTACAAAAAGCCTCTTTATTGTAGAATTAAAAATACTTCTGTACAAAATAAATAACTAAGTCACATTATATTGGCATGACTGCTAGAAAAAATCTGGATTCATTTCCACAAAAGAAGCCCTGATGCAATGGCATTGCTGTTGTGTTCACCAGCTCAGCCTGTAGGTGTGAGGGAAGATCCTTTGGTGAAGATACTCGACCACGCTGACTTTGGTGTGCCGTTTTTCAATTTCATAAAAAGGAATCTATTAAAAAAAATAGAAATATTAAAGTATTGAAATAATTACTGGGAACCAGGAGGCACTGAAAAACTTTAATGGGGTATTCCACCCTAAAGTGAAATGTAGTTGTTGCCATAATCCCCAGAGTTAGATAAGTGGGGAAACCCATTTTGTAACCTGCTCAGTTACTCTGATCTGCCAGTGTTCTGTTAGCTTTAGCTTAGCACAAACAATAAGTAAATGGTAACAGCTAGCATTTTGTGGTCCTAGTTTTTCTTTGTGACCTCATTAATCTTTCTACAAATGAAAATAAAGAGCAACACTAAAGGGAATTACAGGAGCTGATTTAGATTTGGAACTAGATTATGACAAAGCACCGTTGCTTCAAGGACATAATCCATCTACATCTGTCATGTACTCTGCTGTTTACGGCAACTTACTATGCTGTGCCTTTAAAAACTACCAGGTATAAGCCATACATGCCAAACTTATATTTACATTAAAAAATGTCGTTTTGGGTAACTGTGTCATGTCCTTGCGTCTTGCGGTGGCAGTTTACAGCCATCATTACATAGTCCCAAGTCTAAATCAGATCCTTTAACTCCTTTGTGTTACTTTTTGGCTTCATTTGCAGTTGATACGACTATTGAGACCACCGTGAAAAATTGGGATCACTATTGAGTCATTTTCACATGTTTACCACATGAAATGCTAGCTGTCAAGAGGTGTGACCAAGTCACAAGTCTTTCCAGTCAAGTCTCGAGTCAGAACAAAGAATGATTTATGATTTTTGTCCATGTCGTGCCACTTTTGTGCTAAAATATTAAATATGATCAAGTCAACAGATGCAAGTCGATTCAAGTCGCAAGTCATTGGCGTTTCAAGTCCGAGGCAAGTTGTAAGTCTTTATAGATTTTAACAAGTCAAGTCAGAAGTCATTAAAATAATGTTTCGAGTCTGACTCGACTCCACACCTCTGCTAGCTGTTACTAATAACTTCCATTGTTTATGCTAAGGGGCTGCGCAGTGGTTAGAGCTGGTGCCTTGCAGCAAGAAGGTCCTGGGTTCACTTCCCGGCCTGGGATCTTTCTGCATGGAGTCTGCATGTTCTCCCTGTGCATGCGTGGGTTCTCTCCGGGTACTCCGGCTTCCTCCCACGGTCCAAAAACATGACTGTTAGGTTGATTGGTCTGTCTAAATTGTCCTTAGGTGTGAGTGTGTGTGTGTGTGTGTGTGCATGGTTGTTTGTCCTGTGTGTCTCGGTGTTGCCCTGCGATGGACTGGCTCTCTGTCCAGGGTGTACCCCGCCTACTTGCCGTTGACTGCTGGAGATAGGCACCAGCCCCCACCCCCACCCCCCGGCGACCCTGCGTGGACAAAGCGGGTTCAGAAGATGGATGTTTATGCTAAGCTAAAGCTAACAGAACACTGCCAGACTAGGAGAATGACTTTGCTGGTTACAAATGCTTTTCCCCCACAAACTCTAAGGATTACGGGTTTAGGAAACTAGGCTAAAACATTTTCTGGTATAAGACGAGGGTCTAACCTGTATGACTTCATATCCCAGGAGTCGTAGATGTCGCTGCTTGATGGCCTCCTTTCCAAGCAGCTGCCGGATGTTTGTAGTAAACCTCTTTTGTCCGTCGATACAAAGGGCAATCCTGTAACACAAATCAGTAATTAAACACCGTTTTGGATCCTACAGAACACCTGTGTAACGTGAAATCACCTTTTGTACACGTCATCCATTTGACTGGCAGGCAGCACGTATCCCTCTTCATCAAGTTTAATCTCCACGTCTAAAAAAAATCAAAAGCATGGTACCGTTGGATGATAAACCAGCCATTTTAATAATGTAAGAAGCACAAGATACCGAGTGTGTAGCAGTATGGTGTCAGAACTCTGGATCCGAAGTAGGATCGACCTCCGAGTAGATCCACCAGTCCATTTTTCACTGTGTTGTACAGTTGTGGATCGACTGGTGACTCCAGAGAGCGACCCGACGCAAGGAAAGACTTGACTCTGTACTTTGGGAGCAGACGTGGACCCTGATGAGATAAAACAAAAAAAAAAAAAACACATCACAGATCACCCCAATACCAAAACACGAGTAGTGTATTTTTTTAGGTCAAGCTGACCCTGGAATTCAGATCAAAATTACTAATACTTCTCTGCAATAAATATTGTGATGTTTTTAATTATATGCAAAAATATTAATATTAGCAATGAACGTTTAAATAACTTGAATAAAATGAAGAACTTAACAGCTTTATTCTGTTTCTGTGCTGTGAAATGACAGGAACAGGTTTTATGACACAGCTGAAAATCACCAACCCCCCCCCCCCCCCCCCCCCCCACACACACACCCCCAATCAGATGTTAGGGTGTGTGCTCGGGTTTCTGGTGTAGCGTCTTTGAAAAGCTTTACCTCATAGAATGGACACTCCAACTTCACAGTCATGTAGAGCTGAGTCAGCTGGGCCAAAACGCCCCGGTCAATCACCTCGTTCTGATCTACGACACAAACGTTTTGTTTCAGAATCTTCGAGGAAGGACTGTGCATGGCGTGTGGGTGAGGATGGGGCTTACATTGCAGCTGTTGCGGGAAATAACTGCTGAAAACTTTGGAAAGAAAATTGACAGGAAACCTTTCCACCAGGATGCAGGCGTGCAGCAGGTTGAGCAGCGTCCCAGGTTGGAATTGTGAATAGCTACTGTGCAGGATGGCTTCTATTTTCCTGAACAACTGGCTTTCATTGGGGGGGAGATAACCCAACTTTCCAAAAGCCATGATCTGCCTGGCTACTTGGCTGGTGCTGTAGTCGCTTGCTCGGTACACAAAGCTCTCTGCAACAGCATCAAAAACAGCAAAGGACAAGATGTTCCTGTGGCCAAAGAACTGTGCCACCTTGGTTACGGTCTCTGGATGGGAGGTGAAAGCCATCGTAGGTACAAGCTTCTCCATCGCTTTCACAAAATAATGATCGCTGTGACCAAAATGCATCAATGCACCCAGGACGCAAGTGAGCTCCTCATCAGTGAAGTTATGGACATGCCGAACCGCTTGCTTACACAAACTGATTACAAGAGGCATGGCCTGCATTTGATTCAGAGTAACAAGAGCATTTAGTACACCGCTGACAGCAGCAGGATCCATTCTGGAGGTGACTGTGACAGCATGGGTGTGCATGGCGTTTAATAAATCTCTGTATTTTCCATCTTCACCCACACTACTTTGCAAAAGCCTATAAACAGCTACAAGGTCTGGAAGACCCCACTGAGCTGGTTCCTGCTTCTGAATCTGCACCATCACCTGCTCCAGCATCCCAGATCCTGGTCCCTCCACGGCCAACATCGCCTGACCCAAGGTGCACAGCTGTCCTACAGTAAATTGCCCTCTGTCGAGCCTGGTTTGGCTATCTGACTTAAGCTGCACCATCAGCGTGCTCCAAGGATCCAAACAGAGGCGTGTGCAGGCTAGAAGAGCAGACACCAGCCCAGCATCTGTGAGCCGCTCAGAGTCCTGTTCCAGCTGGAAGCACAGAGCCCTGATGGTGTCATCCTCCAGCACTGTGGGGTCTCGCAGAGCTGTGTCTTCCTGTTCCAGGTCAGCCACACTGTGAAGAGCTGCTGCAGCCATGGTGTCTGACAGGATCTCCACAGAGCGCAGCAGTCTGAAGACCTGCCGGGAGGAGGTGCAGGTTTCCAGGCGCTGTTGAAAACTCAGTTCATCAGCAGCTGAGGGTCGGTGCAGCTGGGTCAGACGGAACCGTGGAACTGAATCTTTGTGGAGCCCCACAGAGTTGGAGAAGAATGATGCCTCTTTAATGACGGTGGTCAAACTTCTCACGCTACAGTCCTGCTTTTGACTCCTGCAGCCATGTCTCTGGATACAACGGTTGGCTGAAGTACACAGACATGCCACACATGAGGATTGACCAGAGCTGATGGTACTCAGGCGTCTGATGGGACAGACAGGTCCAACAGGATAACGACGGATCCCGAACTGTCCGACAAGAGGAAGACTCTGAATCAGTTTCAAAGCCATGAGCCTGGACTCCCCGGTCCCCGCTAAAAACACAAAGATATTATTTTAAAAAGGCACATAAAAGGTTTGTGCAAGCAGACAGCGCTGATGCTAACTTCTGTGATGCTAGCTGAGCCCCGTTACCCAACCTCGCCGCTAGCTTTACTACACTGCAGGTTAGCTTATTAGCTAGCAACTTACTGTCTTACTTTTAAACTCGAGCTATTGCCGTCGTTATAAGCGCGTTGTAAATTGTAGAGTTTCATTGAAATTATACAATAAACGAGGGGAAAAATAATGAAACATACCTGGACCTTCCTAGCCTGGCGCGGGGTCAACAGAAATAACCATGTAGGAACATGTAGCGTTCATGTCGCCTCGGAAATAGCAGATTTTGCAATCATACGCAAACCTGCCTAGAATTGTAAGGTTATGTAATAACAGTAAAATAAAATTTATGAGTACAAATTTCACAAAATGAAAGTCTGAAAAATATCACAGAGTCATAGCATACCAAATACAACGTAGTTTTGAAACGAAGGTATAAGTTATAAGTTTGTAAAATTCTTGCTTTGATGTGTTCCTGAAGACTCTTCAAACTTTTTTATAGCCACTAGAGGGCGATGTAGCCATAATACAAAATCATCCCAAATCTGCATAATTCATTCTGAACTGACATTTGTAGTTTGGTTTAGTTATTCATTTACATCCCATCTTACGGTCACCAGACATGTGCAGATTTTTTTACATTGCAAATTTATCTCCGACTTTAATGCTGGCCCTGGATGAGGTTACCAGCCAGACTCTTTAATTCTGCAGTCTGGCTGGCCAGGCTAGTTGCACTGTGGGATGGGCTCTTTCACATGAAAGCTCAATCCTGTGTGGTCTGTTCTATATTTTCTATTATTTGAGTATCTATACCTGTAAGTTAACCCTTCACCACATTCACTAAAGAATTTAGTGTGCAAGTCAGAACACGCTCAAGAAATCCAATGGGAAAGCAAACTTGCCAGAACAGAAATGAGAGCTGTCCTAGAGGAACGTGTTAACCCAGAAAATAAAACCACAAATGCAACTTTTGTTACAGATGTCATTTATGAAAGGGAAACAGTCTGCAAAATACAGTTTAATAGAGGGCTTTATTTAAAAAGATTATAAAATGTAAAAGTTCAGCTAAAAATGCTCACATGAACTGCAAAGTCGTGTCCCCTGAAGCTTCTTAAGTCCTGTTTCACATCTTAACATGACATTTTAAGAACTCGTTTGGCAAAACTGCAAGTTCACAGCAAAGAGGATATTTACTGCTTTGGTTTGTTTTAAACAGGGTCTTTACAGGAAAATTCAGACAGACATGCAGCACGATGATCTAGCTGATGGTGGAGAGGCGGTGTGTGGGTAAGGGGGTGAGGCAGAGGAACAATCTGGTTTGGCTCTTTAATCATCCTTTTCCCTGGCACCGTGCTTCAAGATGCGCGTGAACTCCACGTAGTTGAAGTTACTCTTCTTGTCAATGGGAGCCTCCCGGTAGAGCTCATCTACCTCCTCATCTGTAAAGCGGTCACCCATTGTTGTGAGCAGTTCTCGGAGGTAATCCTCATGAATGAAACCTGTAGAAAAAACAGACAGCATTAAATGATTATTACCACCTTCTAGTCCAGCTCACTAGATTTAGATTTCAATAAACCATATTTACCTGTCCCCTCCTCATCAAAGCAGGCAAAAGCATTCCTGATCACATCCTCGGGGTCTGTGCCATTGAGCTTCTCTCCAAACATGGTGAGGAACATGGTGAAGTTGATTGGTCCAGGAGCTTCATTCATCATGGCGTCCAGGTAGTCCTCTGTTGGATTTTTACCTTTACATGTACAAGAAGGTATAGATGATCTAAGCCATCATGGACTCATAATTCAAGGCGTCCAATTTTTTTTGTTGGTTTCAGAGTTTGTAAATAACTGGTAATGACGGCTGACTATTACATTTTATTTAAAATATGTGGGCTCTCTTGTAGCCTCAAGCACATTAATCACAACATGAGCATCAAGATTCTTTATTAACAAATATCTGAGTCAGGGCTGACTCAGTTATTTAAGGTACGTTCTCATTAAAAACCCAAGACGACGTAAGGATTTGTGACCATTTTACAGATGGGCTTTACCCACCCAGTGAAGCAAGCATGTCATGAAGATCCTCTTTGTCGATAAACCCGTCTCGGTTCTGATCGATCATGTTGAAGGCCTCCTTGAACTCCTGAATCTGAGACTGGTCAAACATGGCGAAGACATTGGAGGTGGCGCGCTGAGGGCGCTTCTTGGTGGTCTTTCCCTTTGCCCTTTTGCTAGACATTTTGGCGCTTTTTTCTGCAAAAGTATCGAGGAAAGAGAGCAGTGTGACACAGGTGCTAAGGCAAATGCTAAACGTGAGTGGCTGTCAAAGAAAACATCGGCTTTGACAAAGCAGTGCTCTCATGTTTGAGATTTAAAGTGTGTAAAACAGATATTAAAAGTACATGTGAGACTTTCTGGGGCTTTTTTTTTTTTACAAACAGACTAAAAGCTACATCTGATGAGCCGTATTAGAAAATTATGCGATATTCTGCTGTAGCTCCAGGGCTTCTGGAACAGACAAACATTTCTGTGGTTTAGACAATAGAAGCGTCTATTAAAAGAAGCAGATGATCATAGATAAACTAGAACATGCTGTAACTCAGTTATGAGATGCCACATCAGAGTGTAATTCAAATCTCTGGCAGTGAATCCCACAGAGCAATGTCCCTCACTGAGCTAAAAATGGAAATGTTCCTCGTCTTTCTGGGATGGTCAGTGAACTAGCTTCACTGACGATGGGAAAAATTACTGATGTGAGTACAGATGTCCTTATCTGGAGATGTATGGAATCTAGACTTCCCATTTTTATGTTGACAGCTATGTTTCAACTGGTCTGGACAACAAGAACATGCCTCCAAAACGTTTCAGGGATAGGCAGGCAGTCTACTTAATGGTTGTGTTACTCTTATTTATACACACAACCTATACAACACACTAAATCTTTTGGCCAAGAAAGAAAGACTCTAGTCTCGATGTATTTTTAAAGGTTCACTGCTTTTGTTTATGCTGAACATTAACTTTATCCTCAAGTAAAACCTCGGTTTTACATCTAATTGCAGATACATTAGATTAAATATTTACTTATTTCTAACTCACCAGGAAGACTACGTGCGTGATTGAGTCCAAACACTGCATTTGCTAGTCATTTTCTAGTGTTTAGCACCTTACAAATTGCGCAAATCATGAATAGTCACCAAAATGCGTTTGCTAGTGGCTTCTATTATGGTTTGTGGCCTAACAAAAACACACGCAAACCACAAACAGGAAGCCAATGTTAACAACACTCATACAATCTAGAAGTAAACAAGTAAAACAACAAAAACTTTACGTAGGAATCATTCACATGCTGTCAAACGATCAAAAATGGACGCTACTTTATGATTTAGCGATTAGTTAGCCGCGAAGCTAACAGTTTTTGTCGAATTGAAAACGGTTATTTTTGGTGATTTTAACTTATAAATTTTAAGCAAGGAAGTCTCTTAAGTGGCATTAAGATAAAAACCACACTCGAATGTAGCTAAATTCTAAATATACTATTACCTAAATAAAGTCTTACCTCACAAAACCAGATAACTTTAAGGCTAATAAGGTGCTACTTCGTTTCTCAACCACCGCCCTTCACTTCCTGGTGTTGAAGGTTCCGAACAAAACCTCGGAAGAAACCAACTCAGAACAATAGGGATGCGCTTCCATAAAAATACACTTTTAACGCTCACCATTAAAACATAATGAGTAAGTAAATTAATTTCTTGTCCGTATTAATAGATTTATTATCATTTAAGTAAAACTTCAGGTTTCAGTAATAATTTGACATTGATTTTAAAACACAAGCTTTTACATAACACCCACCATCTCCAAACCCTCTCTTGCATGCGTAGTGCGTAGACGTTCTTGTACATGCCCTTTTATGGATAGAAAGAATCATTCTCCTGTCTTTCGCAACACCTTTAATTAAATGATGAATTCAAGCTTCATTTTCATTGTGCCTATGGGAAAAGTTGTGTTATGTAAAATAAGAACACTACACAAAATTATTATTTGATATCACTGTTTTTGTAATGAGTATGAAACTTACTTTAATGTCATTATGTTAGATTATTCTCTTTGATGTAAGGCTATATTTTGTGACATTCACTCATTTATCTTATGTGTTTTCTTATCATTTGTTGCTATAAAAAGATTGTGTGCCGCTCATCAGACTGTTTTTAGAAGGAATTTTAATCCCTATTACTCTACAGGTGAAAAAAATATTGACAGACTGGGTAAATTTAGCTGGTGACTGTCAAGCATGAGTGAGACAACAGTTGGTCCTGCAGTGATTATACATAAAAGCTTTTGTACTGCCTGAACAAGTAGTGTGGAACTGTTGACTCACCAGTTAAAACTAGCCACATATGTCCTAGATGTCCATTTGTCCAACTACACTTAAAGCAAAATAACTGGACATGTGTCGTTATGATGTCGCTCCAGAAGTGTGCGAGCAAGACATTTATTTAATAAGAGACATGTTTTCCATTTTTGCGGAGTTTTAGGAATGCAGGGGATTTTTTTTATTCAAAAGTAAACCTTTGAATTTAATTTTTTTTTGACTCAGGCTCCTAATGGGATTCAGATTTTTAACAACACTAGAAACTAATCAAAAACTTCATTGCATGTGATTCTTTCAGCATCTTCTGGATATAAAATCATTAATACGTTTTTGCTCTTTTGTGAAGAGAGGGTTTAGCAAACATGAGAATGTTTTGAGACCGCCGTGTTACACCAAGTAAAGGAGGAATTTTAGAAATGAGAATGTAGTGCAAAAGTCTATTTATCTCAGGAATTCAGCTTAGACTGAGATACAATCAAAAGCAGGGGTGGACAATCCCAGTGCTCGAGGGCCGCTGTCCAGCAGGTTTTACTTGTTTCTCTGCTTAAACACACCTGGTTTGAATCTACTAGTGATTAACAGGCTGCTGCAGAGCCTGATGAGCTGCTGAGCAGGTGATTCATCCAGGAATCAGGTGTGTTGGGGCAGGTAAACAACTAAAACCTGCTGGATAGCGGCCCTCGAGGACCAGGATTACCCACCCCTGATCTAAAGGCTCGGGAACACTTTACAGGTGTTTTGGATTCATTAGTTGATTACAGTGTGACACTTAAAGTCTGCATTGGACATTTTCACAATGTGCTAATTGTCTGAGATTTTAAATTTGGGGTTTTCATCATCTGTACGCCTTAATCATCACATTTATAAGAAATACAGACTTAACTATCTGGCTTTGCATGAAATGAGTCTACCTCATATTTTATTTTCATCTTTAATTTGAATCACTGAAACAAATAAACTTTGGCAGCAGATTAAATTTTATTTTGTTTAATCTCTGTTTAAAAAATTAATAACTTAATCATCACAGATATCATAAAAGTATTTAACCTGATCTATTCTCTTCATAAGCTTATTTATTTATTTATTGTTACTAGAAAATGGTTTTATGATATTTATGTTGTGATTTTGAAGAAGTTTAGGGAAAACATTCTTTTTCTATACATGTTCAGATTCAGAAAATCTGAAAAATATTTAAAAAATAATAAAAAAAAGAAAGACTGCAAGTTGCACTACCAAATTGAACCACTAGGCAGTGCTGCTGAAAAGTAAACACAACAGTTCTCATTTTCTCTGTATTGAGTTTATTGAATTTTTCCTAAACCTGTTTCGGATCTCTTGAGACACTCTCGTGAATGGAAGAGTTCCTTCCTTTTATTGGATGAGAAAAAAACTTCTTTTTAAAACGCAGAAATAAGATTATTTGCCTTTAAAGAACAAAAACAAAACTTTGCAGGATTTTCATGGATGACTACATCATCATATCTTCCATTAACTTCCATTGATTCATCTCTTTTGTTGGGTTCATGATTCACATTGTTTCCATGGCTCTTTTAAAGTATATTTCCAAGCTGACTCTTACTGAATATTGGATTGAAGCTTAAAAGGAAGAACGCTGGAACATAAAAACCTGAAAAATGTTGAGTAATGTTCAAAAAGAAAATAAACAACTAATGTTGTTAATTTCCAATGCAAATATGCCCACCTAGACCACAGGAATGACATTTTTATTCATAATAACTGCTTGTTTTGTGTGTTGTCACTAGAAATATAAAAATAATTCTTCCCTAGATGTTAAGTCTGTGATTTAATTTTCTTTTTGGATCTGTTTATGACCAGGGCGGACATTTGCATACTTGTAGAAATGTGACTGGGAGTGACAAAGAAACAGAAACTGGCAACTGCTGTATGTGAAGCAGTAACAATAACACGGCTAAAGTTAGCATCAGTCACAGCTGAGGCTGCTGCAGTCAAAAGTAGAACAAAAGCCTCCAAAGGTTCACTGTAGGCTGAAAGCAAGCTAGAATATATATGAATACATTTTGGAGGCTGTTGATGCAGCAGCCGCCCAAAACTCCAAAATGACCTTTGTAACAATAAAGATATTACATTTTGATATTTATTATAAAATGTAAACAAATAAATCAAAGAAGCTGTTGCCAGTGGTTCATAGGTTGCCATGGCTATCACACATCCATGCCTGTCACTCCCTGCACAGCAAACTGAAATACACAGCCCAGCCTTAAAAAGTCGCCACCTGGATTTAAGGGAATAGGTACGAGCCTCCTATTGGTCAATTACTGCACAGGTGATTATTTTTCAGGTGACAACAAGTTATTTAACCCCAACTGGTGCAATTACCTGCTTCTCATTCCTTAAACAACCATTTGGAAAGACACATGTGGTGGTCGTGGAAAGATGTTCGTCTTTTTGAAAAGGGTCAGATCATTGGCATCAAGCAGAGAAAAAATCTAAGGAGATGCAGAAACGACTAAAACTGGGTTAAGAACTGTCTAACGCATTAACAAAACTGGTCTGATGAGTCCAGATGGACCCTGTTCCAAAGTGATGCATCAGGATAAGAAGAGAGGCAGATGAAGTGATGCACCCATCATGCCTAGTGCCTACTGAACAAGCCTGTGGGGGCAGGGCTATGATCTGGGGTTGCTGCAGTTGTTCAGATCTAGGTTCAGCAACAGGAGGTCAGCTGACTACCCGAGCATACTGAATGACCAGGTTATTCCATCTTCCCTGCAACTGAAGTCTATGAAAGCTTGGCTGATCTCTAGCTGCACTTATTTATTTTTAATCATTCAAACTTTTAATGATGATTCGCTTTGTGAAGTCCACCTGAGCTCCAGAACAATATTTCTCTATTCCGGTCATCAGGACCCCCGGCTCTGCATGTTTTCCATGTCTCTGCTTCAGCACACCCGATTTACATATTTGCATTGCGTCCTTACGACATCAGGTGCTGCAGATGCCTGTTAATCACTCATTGATTTACGTCCGGTGTGCGGCAGCAGGGAAACACTGCTGTTTAAAAAGTCAACATTGAAAACATGCAGAACAGGGGATCCTTTGGACCGGATTTGGGAAACACTGCTTCAAAAGGGGGCGGGGTTTTCTTACCTGTTTCACCTGAATCCCCACATATTTCTTGCCATTCTACATAAATTATGCCCATGTTGTACCACTAGAAATATGTATTCCAAACTGAACTGAATGTTTTGATGTAATATTTTCGTTTTCATTTTCATTTTTTGAGTAAACTGTCTTTCATTAAAACTAAGTATCCAGGTCTCAAACTCTTTTAGACAAAAATAAATAAATAAATAAATTGAATCATACATAAGCATTTCTGAAAAGTATGTACAATTCATGTTTGAAGCTCTGTAACACAAACTAACATAACACTCGTGTTTACATACAGTCCAGCCGATTCCTGTTGCCATGAAGACCTGCAGCCATGAATGTGTTACACTATAGAGCTGGCTTACCCCCTCGTGGTTATTTTTATCTCCTCCCTCACCTTAAAAGGCTGTGACTGCCGCTTGGACGCTCTGGCCGGGGCCAACATTATTTTTGTGGTGTGGACCACAGTGCCGTGTGGGTTTGCTGGGATATCAAGCTGCAGGAGAGGATTTTTTTCCCCTTTAAAGGTTGGAGTTTGAGGGATTTTGTCCAGGGTAAGTGTGCAAATTCGGGGGTAAATATGTGATGTATTGATGCATATGTTCCTCTGAGCATGCCAAGAAAGTGCCTGATTGCTTGAAACTTGTTTTTGTAGCTGCAAATTTAGATTAGGATTGTTTTGACAGCTTTGTTTTCTTTTTCTCAACAAAAGTGAGTTATTAAACTTGAATCGTGACTGTGAATAAACCTCTTGAACATGAACTAAAATGACAAAACAGAAAAACGAGAGGACACTCGGGGCTCACACTTGGAGCGGCCTGCAGCATGTCTGGATCAATGCCCTTCTACCAGAAGCACCATCGACACTACGATCGTAGCTACCGCAGCACGGAGGCAGAGTCCAAAATGAGACACTACCAGTCCAGCAGCTGGTTGACTGCTGGCAGCAGCACATCCAGCAGGAGCAGGGGGTAAGGAGGAGGAGGAACGGGGATGGAGATGTGACCTGCTATCTCTCTAACATCTCTCATCTCATCTGGTTCCACCATCGGGATCATATGTCTTTGACACTTTTTTCCTTTTAAAGTTTAACTTTGATGAACACTCATTCACAGACTGAAGATGTTCCCTCCCAGCACAGACTCCTCTGACTTACTCATGAAGATCTCTGCATGCAGCCAAGTCTCCCCATTAACCCATTCACCTCGCATGAACTAAAACGTTATCACTACATCACATCAGCACTGGTTGTTATGGAAACTTGGTGCCTAACAGAAAGTAACTAATGGCCGGATCCAATTGCATCAATGGATTTTGACACAATTTGACAAAAAAATACAAGTATATAGGAATAAAACACAGTCAGCATTTCACGGACCAGACACCGAGGCGGCACTATCAACCCATCACTTTAGCAAGTCTTAGGAATTGTTAAAAGTGACTGTGAGCTGGCCTTCAAGTATGTCCAGGGACAATGCTCTACACCAAACTAGAGGGAGTTGCAGTAGTTCAAGTCTCAGTCTGTAGCTGTTGTGTCCTTAGACAAGACACTTAAAACCCATTGCCTGATAGGTGGTCGGAGAATCTGGTGTTCGGCAGCTGTAACTACATTGTAGCTCATTATCACCAGCAAAATAATGTGTGTGTGTGTGTGTGTGTGTGTGTGTGTGTGTGTGTGTGTGTGTGTGTGTGTGTGTGTGTGTGTGTGTGTGTGTGTGTGTGTGTGTGACTGTTATGTTGTAAAGCACCTTGGAGGGTTCTAGAACTCTAGAAAGTACCATATAAATACAATTTTTACCATTTTCCCTTTAAACCATAACTAATCGATCCCTCACCATGCCTTCATCCATGAGCTTTTTACTCTGTCTGGCTTTGTGCCAGGCTGATGGTGTTCTGTATGTCTCAGACTTAACGTGTCCTCACACTCGGGCCTGGAAGAGAGCAGACTAAGCCCCTTACCCAAGAAAGCCAAGCCATCGTACTTGGCGGTGGACAAAGAGAACCAAATCATCGGCTATGTAGTGCCTATCTTCAGGGGCAGGTAACAAGCATTATCTTGACAGTAATTCAGTTTTAATGCCTTATTTTCACATCCACCCATGGCTTTGCTCTGCTGACACCCATAGTCAAGAGTTTGCTACAGGATTATCAGATAAAGAGGAAGCCAGGGTGAGGGACACTGCTGCTTACATGGCTCGCAGGGATTTGTTTACCAGTGGTCTGGAGATGGAAAGGTCAGAGGTGATTTCCAGGAAGGAGGCCATGCGCGAGTCGGCTGAGCGCATCTCTCAGAATAAAAGGGTCAGTGGCAAAATGATCAACATTTTGAAATAAAAACAGGATGTTCGTGTTCTTGTGTGCTCCAACATTCTTACCAGTTTTAAACCAGTTTAACTTGGAAGTTGTGACATGGATCTGGGAATAACTTCCCACCAAATTTAACCATGTTCCTATTTTTAGATTACTGATCTTTACTAGTTGTTCATGTGATCAGACCAACTAGCAACACAGGATGGTAAAAATGTGCTTTTCTATATTTTGTCCAGTCAAACATTGTAACAACACTAATGGAGGATATATAACACTCTGTCTGCAGCTGATTTAAGGGGCAAGAGATTTGTCATTGCAACAATGTTGTTTTTCATGTTCGTGGCAGCCATATTGGATTTGAAGTTTAGAGTGGTGCAAAACTGCCTACTTTTTCAGTCAGAGTGACAACTTTTAGGAGTGTTTGTGTTCACATTTCAACTCAAAACTCCAAGAAGTACAAAAAAAATTCAAAAGCACAGTTTTTCTGTTTTGGCCTGAAGAATCAGCATTCCTACCAGACTTCTGGTAGTCTCTACTCTAGCTCCAGTCACACATAAAAACCTTTGAGTTGTGTTGGGTGCTTTCTTCTCACATTATGGTGTTTCCACATCTGGGTTAGAATGGACACGTCCTATATAGAGCTCCGGACGTCAAGTGACTCTCAGAGAGTAGACGCCATGTTGGCAGGCAAAAAAGGTTAACAAAATGAACGGGATCGGCTTGGATTTTACTCCATTGGAGTTTACTTCACACTTTAAAACCGAAGAAATCGTTTTATATAGTCAGAAATTAAATAGACTAAACACTTCCGACCCTTCCTGGGATACGTTTTAAAATGCCAGAAGCTGTCGGAGCAGACCTCTAACCGGATTTAAGATGCCCTGACATTTATAATTTCCTTGTTAATTTTCCCTCGTCCTACTCCGGAGCATCGCTAAGAGCATATAAAAGCCTGGAGGGATACAAATGGACTCAATCAGGGTTTGTTATCGGTATCCAGATCTGGATTCTTCCTGCCAAGGACAGCGCTGTTCTCACCGGGAGGGTAAGTGGAGATTTTTGTTACTATTAGCAATAGCCCGTTGCAAGGTTATGTCTGTGTGATCTGACAATTGATCAACCATTGCTTAAAAATGAAATACAGCTTAGCCGGTTAATTGCTGTGATCATAAGACACGTAAACGGCAGCACGCAGAAATCACAAGGCAATGTTTTACGTGATCTTTACTTGTTGCTATGAGTAATAAGACAGAAAAATCCACGGCAAAATAAGTTTAGGAAGCCCACTAAGAATCGTAATAAAAGCATTTAAAATAAATACCACACACAGTTGAGGAAACGTTGGTTTAAGTACCTGATATGAAGTGGTTGCTGCATAAGCCAAAACCTTTACTCTCGGGATCCCACAATTTCATTTTAGTCTGGAGGCTAGCGCGTTTCATTGCGAGGATCCAAAGTTTGCGGCCTTCCGGATCTTGGGGAATCCTGTAGAAGGCTCTTCCTTATCTCGTCCGCGTCTGTTCTGGCATCCTGGGGCACAACAGGATTCTACCATATTTCCCGTTTGATTGAGCTTTCTGACAATAACAAATAGCCTAGCTGCGGGCTTCTGCCTGCCAATATGGCGCCTTTCGATTTGAACTGTTGCATGCCAGGAGAAGTGACGTCAACTCCCGGAGCTCTATTGTATATTGTGTTCACATCTGGATAGCTTGTGCATTTTCTGTGCTCAACCAAGCATTTTCTTAGACCTCATCCCCTAGTAGTCTGCTTCAGGCTGAACTGACCCAACACACCCACTGCCAACTGACTGGTTGGCTGAAATTTACACCTACCTTTAGAGGGAGCCTCCAACTGGTGGGTAGAATCAGCCAGCAGGGGCTAGCCGCAAGTGCAATTCATTATCAGTCTGGATGCTGGGGAGTAAACATCTCCTCTGATTGCAGCTCAGAGCTGCCGCTCCAGCCGGCAGGGCAAGGACAGCTGTCTCAGTGAGAGAAAGAGAGCAGGAAGCAATTTCAAAATCAGTGTCAACACTCCTGACAACCGCCTTTGTTTACTAACTTAAGGAGGACACCGCGCATCTTTTGCCCCACTCACATGGTTGGGCAAGTCCGTGTGAACAAAACTTTGTTGTGTGCGATCAAGCCAATGTTACCGAGACCAGGCTGATCTGGGCCAGATGTGAATCTGCCATTAGTGTCATGCAAGAAATGACCAAAACAGAAAGTGCAAGTATTCCTCCGAGGCAGTAGGGTAGTCACAGAACTGAGTTGGTGAGTAGGTGGAAACAGCATGAGTATAGCCAGCCAGCTCTCCACTGGTTCCATTGTCTTAGAGTTTGGTCAGTTTCATTGGTTTGTGTGTGAATGTCCAGAGGCAGCTGAGGAAATGGTTTTTCTTTGTGGTCACTTGACCCACTTCCAAGACTCCAAAGGCCCAGTCTGCTTTATGGAGAATAGCACAACTATTACGTATACCATGACCTTTATGAGGTCTCACAACCGTTCAGCTTCACAAGTATATTGTTCCCCTCATAGACCATTGCAGTAGTGGATAGGAATATTAAGTGCATGAGGATAAGTGGTTTTCATTACAACATTTTACTCAAGGAAGTTATTTATGTCCATGGGTGATTATGTGAAGTAGTAGCCGGCTATTTAACAATCATCATAGACACCAGTTCCCTCCCTCACTGCATTTATCTGTCTCCACTCTGGCAGACACTTGTGGGTGACAAATTCTTTAGCAGATTGCTTTTCTTGAGACACATGGAGGAGGAGTCCCAGCGGTGTTGTCATATTAAAGCCTGGACAGTGTACAACTACCACCCTTGGCTATTCATAGAATATAATAAAAATACAATCTCACACTTAAAGGACGTTTAGAAAGGGCATCATGTGTGTTTTGCATGTGTCAAACAAATAAAAACTTGGAAGGATTTTGCTATTATTTTCCAAAGAGGCTTTGTTTTTGCTGCAAGCATGCACAATGAAGCCTTGCTGAAGTTGTTTGGTGTAAATGTTGTTTCATGGCAAATGTGACTTCATCTAAAAGGTACAACCTGCTATGTTTAGATCCATGAGCACGAGGAACACTTCAAGCGCATGAACAAAGACAGCCTGATGCACCCCCCAGAGTTTGTGATCAAACCCCGCTCCCACACTGTTTGGGAGAAGCAGTGTGTGAGGCTGCACTGCACCGTCAGCGGCTGGCCTGACCCCAGTGTTGTTTGGTAGGTCATAGACGTGCATCACCTACAATCTCAAATATGTCCTTTCATTCCTGTCAAGATCCTCCTTATCCCCTCAAGGTTTTAAATCCTCTTCAAACCTTTTCTTCTTCCTTTTGTTTGTGTTCTGTCCCATCTGTATCCAACCACAAGGTACAAAAACAATGTGGCAATTGATCCCCTTGCCAGCCCTGGCAAGTATAAACTTGAGAGCAGATACAGCGTGCACTCGCTGGAGATCAGCAAGTAAGTGTAGCTTCTCCTATCTACAATATTTATCTGTGTTCTTCATGTAACGACCCGGAAGTCTTTTGGGTTTGCACCAAACAGTACGTCAACTTCATGTACATTTGCAGTAGCTGAAACACGTATGACACACACATATTCACAGAGGTACAAAGACCCCAAAAAGGCAATTATCCCAGACCTAAATATCAGAAGTTAGCGAAAGATATGATCTCACATAATCTGTTAGTGATTAAACTTCAAACATTTGCAAGAGAGTTTTCAAGATGCATCAAGATGCTTGCAAGGGTTTTCTGTCATATTCAGTGTTGCCAACATAGCGACTTTGTTGCTATTTATAGTGACTTTTCAAGCCCCCTTAATATATTTTTTCCCAGAAAGAGCCTAGCGACACATTTGTCAATAATTCTGAAGACTCTTATTTACTATGTCGTTGATAATCTCTGCAGATTAGCAAAAGACCCAGCCTGCTCTACACCCAGACACTTTGAAAGGGATGAAACACATATACATGTATATCTTTGTTACATCCATGTTGCATTGACATTATAGTTACATTATTTTTGTTTCTTATCTATAGAGTAACAAAGCTTTGTTTTTACCTTTTTGCTGATTGATTTGGTGTCTGTTTCCTTCATCAGAGCGTCACCAGTGTTATTGGTGTCACTTCTTTCACTGTTTATCTGCGAGCAGTAGAGGACGATGTCGCAGTCTCCTGCCCACCCTTGTTGATAACAAAAAAGAGATACAGAAATACAAAAGATGAGGCAATTAAGATAATGAGATGAGGACCATAAATAGAGGCGAAGGAGTAGATGTGCTGGACCATTCATGGGACGTGTTGAGGAGGGCGACATCGTCCTCTACTGCCTGCAGATAAACAGCAATGGAAGTGACACTATTAACACCAGGGATGCTCTGACGAAAGCAACAGTCAGGAGCTGAAACTGTCAGCAAAAATGTAAAAACAAAGCTTTGCTATTCTGTTTATGAATAAGAAACAAATTAATGATATACATGTATATATTTTTTAATTATATATATATATTTTTTGTATTGGATATTGAGACCAAGACCATCATGTGACTGTTTTTCAACTGAATTCAATTCAAAAATACTTTATTAATCCCAGAGGGAAATTGATTGCTGTAGTAGCTCAGAATAATAATAATAATAATCAAGTCATCAAAGAGTTATATTACAATAGCTGTTGGCAGGAAGGATCTCCAGTAGCGGTCAGTGTTGCAGCAAAACTGAAGAAGCCTCTGACTGAAGACACTCTTCCGCTGTCGGGCAGTCTTGTGAAGAGAATGCTCAGGGTTGTCCATAATTTTCTTGATTCTCTGGAGAATCCTTCTTTACATTATCTCCTCCAGTGGTTCCACAGTCGTCCCCAGAACAGAACCACCCTTTGTTATTAGGCTGTTGAGCCTTTTTAGGTCCCTGCTTCTGATGCTACTACCCCAACAGATGATGGCTGAAGAGATTAAGCTCTCAACGACAGACTCGTAGAAGATGTGCAGCATCTTGCTACAGACATTGAAGGACCTAAGCATCCTCGAGAAGTGCAGTCTGCTGTGTCCCTTCATGTAAACGGCTTCGCTGTTCTTTCTCCAGTCCAGTCTGTTGTCCAGGTGAACTCCAAGGTATTTGTATTCCTCAGCCACATCCACTTCTTCTCCCATGATGGAAACAGTGTTTGACTCTACCCTGTTTCTTCTGAAGTCTAAAATCATCTCCTTTGTTTTGTTCGCGTTCAAGGTCAGATTATTGTTTCCACACCACGCCACAAAGTGCTCCACCAGCTCTCTGTACTCAGCTTCCTGTCCATCTCTGATACACCCAACAACTGCAGAGTCATCTGAGTATTTCTTTAGATGACAGGTCTCTGATTTGTACTGGAAGTCTGAGGTGTACAGGGTGAAAAGGAATGGTGAGAGTACAGTACCCTGTGGTGCTCCAATGTTACTGATCGCCTGGTTTGATGTGCAGTTCTTCATCCTCACAAACTGTGGTCTGTTTGTCAGGTAGTCTTTAATCCAGGCGATAGTTGAGGCCCCCACCTGTGTCTTCTGGAGTTTCTGGCAAAGTACATCAGGCTGGATTGTGTTAAATGCACTGGAGAAATCAAAGAACATGACCCTCACAGTGCTGCCTGCTTTGTCCAGATGACAGTGGATTGGTTGCAGCAGCTGGATGATGGCATCTTCAACTCCAACTCCATGGCGATAAGCAAATTGCAGCGGGTCCTGATGTGTTCTAGTTTGCTTGTTCAGGAGGACCAACAGGAGTCTCTGCAGGACCTTCATGATGTGGGATGTCAGGGCAACCGGTCTGTAGTCGTCATTGACTGATGGGCGAGTTTTCTTTGGAACTGGAGCAAGGCAGGATGTCTTCCACAGGACTGGAACCTTCACCTGGGCCAGGCTGAGGTTGAAGAGGTGCTGCAGAATCCCACAGAGTCGCTCCGCACAGGCCTTCAGTGCTCTGGGGCTGACACCATCTGGATCTGCAGCCTTGTTCCTGTTCAGTCTCTCCAGCTGCCTCTTCACCTGACTTCTAGAGACAGATAGTTAAATGGGACAGCACCATCTCCTGACTTGATTGAAGAGATTTGTTGAACCAGAAGAGTCCATGACTGCGTTAGAGGACAAACGAGCTGACGTGTGACAGGAAAATGTTGGATCAGAGGAGGATAGGATGTCTGATTGGCTGGGGACAGGTGAGAAGGATGCTTGGTTTGCTCCTGAACTGAACCTATTGAAGAAGTTGTTCAATTCATTGGCTGTGTCCAGGCTGCCATCAGTGCAATCCTTCCTCTGCTTGAAGCATGTGATCTTCTTCATCCCTGACCAGACATCTCTGATATTGTTCCTCTGTAGTTTGTTCTCCAGCTTCTTCCTGTATGCCTCCTTGCTGTCTCTGATCTTGATCTTCAGTTGCTTCTGTATACTCCTCAATAATTCCCTGTCTCCCTCCTTGAAGGCTCTTTTTTTCTCATTTAGCAGATTCTTCAGTTCACTGGTGATCCAGGGTTTGTTATTAGTGAAGCATCTCACTGTTCTGGTGGGTATGATGTTGTCCACACAGAAGTTTATATAGTCAGTGACACATCCAGTCATGGCATTGATGTCCTCTTCATATCCTTGGCAGAGAGCCATCCAATCTATGGTCTCAAAACAACCCTGCAGGGCTTCTTCAACGTCCTATGACCATTTTCTCACAGTTCTTCTCATCACAGGTTGCCTCTGAACAAGTGGTTTGTATTCTGAGCAGAGAAAAACAAGATTGTGATCTGATTGTCCCAGAGGAGGTCTTGTTTTGGACATGTATGCATTCTTTACATTTGCATAACACAAATCCAATGTCTTGTTTTCTCTGGTGGAGCAGCTGACAAACTGTTGAAATGTCGGAAGTGTAGCAGAGAGCGAGGCATGATTAAAATTACCACATATAGCCACAAATGGATTGGGGTGCTGGGTTTGTAGCTTAGCGACAACGGAACTGATGGCATCACATGCACTTTCAGCAATGGCTGAAAGTGGAATATAAATGGTTGCCAAGACAACACTGGTGAATTCTCTTGGCAAATAATATGGGTGACAACTTACTGCCAAGATTTCAACATCTGGGCTGCAGAGACGACATTTCACTGAAACATGACATGGATGGCACAATCTGTTGTTGACAAGCACTGCCACTCCACCTCCTTTTCTTTTCCCGCTCCTCTTCAGATCTCTGTCTGCTCGTACAATTAGGAATCCTGGCAGAGAGAGGCTGGAATTGGGGATATGGTCCTGCAGCCATGTCTCAGGGAAACACATAACACTACACTGCCGATACTCTGGCTGAGTCCTTGAAAGGGCTTGGAGTTCCTCCATCTTGTTGGCCAGTGATCTCACATTGCCCATTATGATCGATGGAAGAGATGGTTTGAATTTCCTCTTTCTCTGTCTCCGTTTTGCTCCCGCTCTGCATCCACGCTTCTTGCATTTTAGCTCCTTTGGGATTTGTGGCTTCAATTGAGGTATTAGGTATTTCAGCCTTTCCAATGTAATCAGCTGTTCCCGATTGTAAACCAGCTTGCTGCCATGGTTACGCATCATAACACAGCATAGCAGCTTGCAAACACCTGATGATGTCATTAGTATGCAAATTAGTGGTTTGCATTATCTGGTGGCATCTGGTAACTTTCGGAGTAAACTTCAGGGCATCTGGTAACTTTCGGAGTAAACTTCAGCTACTTTCTGTCAGAGGCAGTAGACAACACAGGTCACATTAGGTGACTCATAGGGCTGGATTATTTTTTTTTAAATGTTGCACTTTTGTAACAAAAGTCCTAAAATAGAAATCAACCACATGATATCATCTGCAAACTGTCTTAATCTGTTCTAGAACTCTTCTCAATGTAGTCTCAGCAAGTCAGAAAGTGCAAGAAATGCGAAACAACTTTGGGAGCAGTGGCTACCAAATTGTGAATTAAATAAGGGTACATTTAAACAAGAAAGGTTGCAAAATTGTTGCACTAATGTCACAATTTATTAGCAATTTTGTCAGCCCGGTGTGATAGCTTCTACAGACAAGCAGAAAAAACATCTGAGCTATGTTCACATCACATTTTAGTAATCAACTTAACTTAAATGATGGGCTGCTTTTTCTTTTATAAAATTCCATTTCTGATGTGTACTTCACACAGCAGATCCACAACACCTGGTGGAAAAGACATCACCAGTGGTGTCTGTTTATTGCCAAACTATTCCTGGCTCAGATTTTTGGAACGCTTGATGGCTGGGGCCCACATAGTTGGTATTATAAACATGGTAGAGAGGGCTGAAGCTGGGGTTAAGGTGCAGGAAGGGCACCACACATGTGAATTGTTAATTGATACAGCGGGCATCATGTTGACATTGATTAGCTGATGATCTCGTTTTTCAGATGCGACTTTGATGACACAGCCCAGTATCGTGTCTCTGCCATGAACTCTGAAGGAGAGCTGTCTGCATTTGCCTCTGTTGTTGTCAAACGTAGGTCGCACTAAACCGCAACAATACCCCTCACCAATAACTGAACAATTATATGGAAAAAAGTGTAAAAGGCTTTAATGTTAAATATAATCAAGGACGTTTAAATGTAATGTGTCATATCATAAAATACTGTACATTCAGTCCATCTAGAGTCATACAATACTGTGTTTGCTGTATGTATAAATAGCAACTGTGTCTTTTTTTCCCATAGGGTTCAAAGGTGAAGTTGATGAGACGTTGCCAGTGCCTAGACGTAAGTGTGAATCTGTTGTGTCGGTCTTGGGATTTTTATCAAAACGTTTAAACAAGTTTGCCTCTATAAACTGGTCGTGAGAGCAATCACACTCGCAGGGGGGGGGGGGGGTGTTGATACTTCAGCGTGAGATTTTGCAGGTGTGGTATGAGAGTGTGAAGCGGGTGAGATGCATGTGTCTCACGTTTAATGCGTGAGAGTTGGCAGCCCTGAAAATAACGAGTGTGCTCGCATTAAAGGTGTTGAACACTCATTTAATCAATATATTTGCAGTGGTCTTCAGTAGGAATGAATGCCTTGAAGGTCATACTCAGGGGGAAAAAAGCCCAGAAGCACCTGTTTTGGCATGGAGGAGTCAGCTGGAGGAGAGAGTAGCAGAACACGACAGGATTTGAAGCCTTATTTCCTGATTTTTGGACATCTTGTCTCTGATTGGCTAACAGCAAAGCAACTCTACGACTCTGTATGCTCTGTAATGTTCATGTTTTATCTCCACAAATAACACAACCCTGAAGGAGTTCTGCCATGTGGTGGAGTTGCTAATGCTAATTGTTAGCCTCTACTAGCCGAGACATGAGCGTAAAGTGACATTGTGAAGTGTAGCTAATGCAGGAGATAGGTATAGGAGACTATTTTTATGTTCAGCCTGCATGAAAAACTCAGAGTGACTGACTGCAATTTCAGTGTTTCACACCTTTAACATTTATAAATGCTAAAAGGGATTTTTTTCGTAAAGTGGTACCAACGTTTTTATTGCTTTCTTTTGCTTTGGCTAACAAACTACCAAATGTTAGCATCAGAAGCATTTATTAAAAGTCATTACTTTGTGAAAATATGTCATTTTACTTATATTGGAAGTGTTTTGTTTTCCTCTTGATCAAAAACATTTGCAATCTCTTTTATTTTTAGTATTATCATGCTGTTTTGAATTTTACTCAGTGACAACCAACATTAGCTAAAAGCAAGGTCGTGAGCAGAAGTGCAGGAACAAAACTTTTTTGTAATCCTTAGTGCCATGGCAGCGATGCAGAGCAGGGGCGGCGTTAGGCCCGGCTACTTGGGCTGAAGCCCCGGATCTTTCATGATAAGCCCCGGATCTAAATCGCGGAAGTAACATGCAGTACCAAAGTCACACAGAGAGGGCGCAGCTGGCAGTAGTTTGTAAAGTCCCATTTAGTCGTCACACACACAGGTGTGTGGTGAAATTTATTCTCCGATTTTGACCAATCCCCTGAGTTGCAGACACGCCGCGCTCGGGAACTATTTGGTGGTTTAATCCCCCAATCCAACCCCAATCCAATGCTGAGTGTCAAGCAGGGAGGCATTGGGTCCCATTTTTCTCAAAATCTTTGGTATGACCCGACCAGGAGTGGAACCCCTGATCTCCCGATCTCAGGGCAGACACTCTACCACTAGGCTACTTAGTCAGTATACAGTTTACCTGAGACTGAAGAGAAGCCCTTCAGCAGCTGGCTTCTGCAGTCTCTGTCTGAAACGCATGAGTGAAGATGGATATAAGGACGTTTTTTTAGACCAAAAGTACAACGACAGAACCCCAGCTCTGATGAGACTGGTGTTGACTCAGGTTTGTGAGTCTTATTTGAAAATATTTGTTGTGCTGCTGGTTTGCCTAAAGTTAGCTTACTATCAGGTAAAGTTGTTGGAGAAAGAAAGGGAATATTCACTATCATCTCACACTAAACACTAACAGGAACAATACTCTGCCCTGAATATGCTGAATATGTAGCTTCAGATTAAACATTATGTGGTACAAGACAAATATATATGATGTTGACTAGTGCGTGTCACGTGTGTGCACGCATGCGTGTGTGTGCGCGCGCGTGTGTGTTAAGCCCCGGATCTTCTTCAGTCCTAAATCCGCCCCTGATGCAGAGGCCTTTTCTAAAGGTTACAGGGCCAAATAATCCGATTTTAAAATGTGTGTCATAAGATGAGTTAAAATGAGATGAGATGAAGTGAGATGGGATGGATGGGAGGACTTAAATGCATGAAGAAGTGAAGTTCAGGATCTCCAGTCTAGAGGAAAAAAATATTGAACTTAACCAAACACTTCCAAACAAGTTTTAATCCTGTTATTTGGAATTATCTTCTAATTTATCAATTTTTACAAGACACTCACATCTTCAGTAAATTATGAGACGAGTCAACTGACTCTCCTGCTTTGTTTCTAGTTGGTCCAGTTTCTGAGTATGGCATCACGTTCCAGATTCACATCGTCGATACGTTTGGAGTGTCATTTGGAAGAGAGGGGGAGACGATGAGCCTGGGTTGTACGGTCATCATCTATCCTGCCCTGCATCGCTACCAGCCAGAAATCCAGTGGTACCGAGATGGTGAGGGGACCACTGGCTGTTGCTGTATTGAAACAATGTCGTTGCCAAGTGTGTGAAAATGTTATTTTTCTACTTCCTGCTCTGCGTTTAAGATGTTCTGCTGACTCCTTCTAAATGGACCCATGTGCACTGGAGTGGAGACCGAACCACACTGACCCTCACTCACCTCAACAAGGAGGATGAGGGGCTCTACACCCTGAGAGTCTCTACAAAGTCTGGATATGAAACATATTCGGCTTACGTGTTTGTCAGAGGTGGGAACACCCTTCTGTCTTGAGTTTGCAAATTGAATTTGACAAATAGTCAATCACTCAGGTGATCCAGTAACTCCAACGACATGTGCTGTTTAATTATGACCTAAATACCTCAGATCCTAGTCAACACAAGCCAGGTGGGCTCCCTCAGCTTTGTTGTTGTCTCATGAGATCAAGGTCACAGCCACAACAGCACGTATGCTGGCACCTGATAATGACTGTTTATCAGCATCTGAATGTCAGTGGGGGGTTTTAAATAGGATGTCTCTAATGGAAGCTTCACTGAGCAGCAAGTCTCTGGCATCTGTTTGAGTGCCGTGGAAAAAAGCAATCAGTTAAGCTTATCTTTGCTGCCTTCTGTGACAACCTGACATTTGTGGGTTCAGGAGATATGTTGAGAATGAAGAGGCTGGAAAATAGATCCTCACCGCCTGGTCCCCCGTTGCAGCTCAGGGTCGCCCAGTAAGAGAAGACGCGAGTTCTGGTCTCCATGATAAAACTCCCTGATCCAGTTGTGCTATTCTGAGGGCTAAGAGCTGGAATGAGTCTGGCTCTGAGCTGGGTATGCTCAGATAAATACATTACACAAAGGGCTTCTAATTTTTCTTGCACTGTTCTTCTGAGGTCTGTTTGTGCTGTTTTTGGATTGGGGGCCAACAAAACAAAAAAGTAAATGTTATTCTCTATTTGTGGCAAGAAGACTTTTGAAAATGTTCAACAAGTTGTGAGATTGTTCGAGTTCAAATCTTCTGTTGAGGGTGTTATTGTATGTGTTAGATGCTGATGCGGAGGTGGAAGGTGCTCCTGGAGCTCCTCTGGATGTGCGTTGTCTGGATGCTAACAAGGATTACATTATTGTCTCCTGGAAGCAACCGGCTATCGATAGAGGAAGTTCCATTTTGGGCTACTTTGTGGACAGGTCAGTGAATGCAATCCTGCCTTTATACCTGTTGGATAATTAGCATAATCTCCGAACATTGACCTGGGTCACCAGGTTTGGCTCCACTTAGTCTTGGTTTATGCTTGACGCATGTACATTAAACGTGCATCAGAACTGGCAGCGTTTATAGTTCCTTCCAACCCTCTGCGGCTTGTCTCCGCTGTGAGCCAATATTCTCCCAGACTGTTGGGGGCGTTATGAGGCTCTACGGCATGCATACAACACTGCACCATGGTAGAAGTAGAAATCGCTGTAGTTTACAACATTTTTTCACCGAGTCCTTGTCTTTTCTGACTGTGACAACAATTATGAACACTATTTAAATCACAGTGATCTTTATGGACCAAATTATAGATGTCTGTACGTATGAACCCCCGCCACTACTAGCGCTTGCCAGTCCGCCATGCTTTTCCGCGCAGGACCGTCCGCATGGTCAGAACATTTTCTATGTGTGCCGTGCGGTTTTTGAAAGATACTAGCATAGGGGCCTGTTAATAAATCCTCCAGAAATGTTCTAAAATATGTATAATCTAGTATCTAATCCCTCCTAAAACCATTTATTATTATTATTATTATTATTATTATTATTGTAACATAGTAATCCAAAGGGGTTTGAATGAAGGCAACTGGACTTCTTTGGTTTCTTAAGGACGTTTCACTTTTCATCTTCAAGAAACCAATGAAGTCCAGTTGCCTCGTTTGAATCCCTTTGGATTACCATGACCTGGATGACTGGGAACCTTCACCAGCATTGTAACAAAGTGTTTTACGTATGTTTTTAAATTATAAAAAAATCTGCTGTTTGTTTAGTACTAGGTACAGTCTATATGCCAATTCTATTGCAGCATCCGTTGCGGAACTCAAAGTGCTTTGTGTTTGATGTAAAGGATTCAAAAGCAGTTCTTCAACTTGACGATGACTTGACAGTGTAACCAAACTGGACTTCGTTGGGTTTTTTGTGCTCGACGATTTCCATGTTCCTGAGAAGTGTGTGTAAACAAACCCTACTGGTGCTTGACCCGGACCCAATACCGCCCAGACTGAACTGGGCGAGGCGATGTGCAAGCAGCAGTAATGTGACTCCTGGCACTGGAGTCAGCTTCCAGCACAATTCCTGCATGTTTTAGATCGTGAACACGGCTGATCTGTTTGATTTAGTGATAAACTGCTCCTGCAGAAACCAATGAAGGCTGAGGAGACATTTCAGCAGTTAGATTAAGGTGTTGAAAAGACAAATATTCAGCAAAGAGACAAGTTTCACTTTTGCTTTCACTAATGGACACGGGGGGGTGGGGGGTGGGGGTGGGGGGGTGTCTAAAAGCAAGCCAAAACTGCATTGTATGTCCTTAAGTTTCTTATCAATTAAAATTTGAGTAAAGAAATCAGCAAAAAGGAACAATCTATTAAATGGCCTCTTCTCAGATAGGATTTTTCCAGTGCAGGGTGTTTTAACCTGTTTAACCCTAACGCCCCTCAGTTGGGGGCCTCTACAGTTTCATGTCCCAACATCTACAACTGTCCACATTCTCCAAACACAACTAAAACCACAATCAAACATCCCAGATGGGAAACAAGGCTATTTTAAATTGTAATAAATTAAGATACAATGATATTTGAACTTTATTTTAGAAGAACATCTGACCTTCTCTGGTGTCTGCTGGGGGAAAAAAACTTGAACAAATCTAGTTGAGGACCTCTGGAATAAATAAAACAATCGACTAAACTTCCTAAATGGAATTTGAACTCACAACCTCCATCCTGTCAGCACTTTCACACAGGGCAGCTCTTCTAAAATAAAGTTCAAATATTATTTTATCTTAATGTAACAAAAACTAAAAAATTGCTTTGTTTACAATCTAAACTGTTTTGATTGTAGCTGTAGCTGTGCTCGGGGTTATGCAAACAATCACTGACACTTGGGACATGAAACTCTAAAGGCCCCCAATTGGGAGGCACCAGAGCCCAAAGAAAAAAGGCCTAGGGCCTAAAGGGTACAGATGCTTTATTATTTGTGGACAGGTGTGAGGTTGGAACTACCCACTGGGTTCAGTGCAACGACACTCCAGTCAAGTTTGCCCGTTTTCCCGTCACTGGCTTAGTGGAGGGCCGTTCCTATGTTTTCCGCGTGCGCTCTGTCAACAAGAGCGGCATCAGCCGTCCGTCCAGAGTCTCAGAGCCAGTGGCTGCCATGGATCCAGCTGATCGGGCCCGCATGAGAGGTAGGGCATCCCAGTTTCTTACTTCTCTCTTACTTTAGCTAATGGAAAATGGTTAAAATTGAAGCAACATTTATTAAACTTGCTGTTTAAATGTGCTTTTTTAAAGGTACTTCTGCTCCCTGGACTGGACAAATCATTGTCACAGAGGAGGAGCCTGCAGGTATTTTTTGTTTACCAGTCGATTTTGTTGTATTTCAGAAGATGAGGCACTGATGTTAAAACATTTGACCACTAGAGGGCGTAGTTCCCAGCAGACCTCTTGAGTTGAAGGTGACTGAAGCAACCAAAAACTATGTGGTATTGAGCTGGAAGCCTCCTGGAGAGAAGGGCCTTGAAAGCATCATGTACTATGTGGAAAAGGTAAACTTTGAGTGTATCTTTTTTATTTCACTGCAATAACTTTCAACTAATTGTCTCCTTTTTCTGCACCTTTAGTTGTTTCACACCAGTTTCCTCTTTGTCAGTGTGTTTCTGGTACAGACAGCTGGCAGAGGGTCAACACAGAGATCCCGGTAAAATCTCCTCGATTTGCTCTGTTCGATCTCGCTGAGGGGAAATCATACTACTTCCGTGTTCGCTGCTGCAACTCTGCTGGTGTTGGTGAACCATCTGAACCAACTGAAGCCATCACTGTTGGTGACAAGCTTGGTGAGAAGATACACAACCTTACAGGATGGTGCAGAAGCTTTTGATCTATCTCAGATAGGCCTATGTGTGCATAAAGTCTGCAGAAGCATGAAGGACTTCACAAATAGCTTACGCTCTTATCCGTAGATATCCCATCTGCCCCAGGAAAAGTTGTTCCAACTAGAAACACAGACACATCTGTCGTCGTGAGCTGGGAAGCGTCCAGTGATGCAGTGGAGTTGGTGGGGTACTACATCGAGGGTAGTGTGGTGGGCAGCAATGTTTGGGAGCCATGCAACAACAAGCCTGTAAAGGGAACCAGGTGAAATTAATCCTCTTTACACTTTAATTTAACTTTTATGCAAACTTGTGGTTGTAGGGATTCACTGAGAAACGTGTAATACTTGCTCTTTATTTGTTCACTCCCAGTTTCACTTGCATGCTAAATGTGAAAAAAATGTTCAACCTCTATTTCCTGCATTAGTCACAGAAAGGAAAAAGCCAAATAGAGAAATATTTGCATTTACAGACTCACTCAGCTTGTGACCATGGAAGACTGTGTTTATTTAGCGTCCTGGAGAGAGCATCTTGGCTAGTAGAAGCTAACCTTTAGCATTAGCAACTCCACAATGTGGTGGAACACATTCAATATTGTGTTATTTGAGAAGATAAAACATTGATGCTGCATTTGTTGAGTCTACCACTAGGGGAGAGTATGGGAGAGGAGAATATAGGAGAAGGAGAAGAGGTGAGAGAGTTAAGATGGATGCCTGATTCTGCTACATGTGACACAGGTTCAAATAAAGCTTGGAAAAGGGATTCTTAGCTACTCGTGCTACCGTATTTTCCGGACTATAAGTCACACTTTTTTTCATAGTCTGGCTGGTCCTGCGACTTATACTCTGGAGCGACTTATATACAAAATTATGTAGGCTATACCGCACTGCTGTGGACTGGCTCCGGACCAGGAATGAGCTCCCTTGCCCCTCTGGGAATTAAAAACACACATCCATCACCTGCCGGAGCCTGTTGCGCATCGTTGCGCACTGGATCTGGCCCAGGTTTCAGTTCCTCTGCCCCCGCCATCACCTGCTGCAGCCTGTGGCGCGCTGCTGTGGGCCGGCTCCGACCCAGGAATGAGCTCCCCTGTCAAGCTGGGAGGGTTTCAAACACCGCCATCCTCTGCTGGATACCGTGGCGCACTGCTGCGCTCTCGTTGTTTATTCTGTTATTGTTACCGGTACTTGTCTTGCAATGTGAAATGCTTGGTCTCAGATTTTGTAAGAAAAATAATCAAATTTCCCCAAAAAATGCGACCTATAGTCCAGTGCGACTTATATATGTTTTTTTCTTCTTCATTATACATTTTATGGTTGGTGCAACTTATACTCCGGAAAATACGGTACTTTCTGGTATAACGGCTGGCCATAACAGCATTGTTTTACCCAAGAAAAGAGAGTAAATGGAGGCAGTGGAAGGGTCATGTTGCTGTCAGAGGTCAGATGTTTACCTATCATATATAATAACGAGTAAGACTTATAATCGGGGTGGACTGGCACAGTAATTCATACCCAGTGCAGAGTAGGATCCACTCAAGAGGTTTGATTGTCCAATGCGGAATGTCCGAGCTTTAGGGTGTTAGCGACACAACTCACCAATGTTGAATCTCCGAGTGGTGGGTAGGGGCAGGACCAGTTCAGCGAGAAGGCTACTGGGAAATGTCCCGGTGCTCCCGATGGCCAGTCCACCACTACTGATAATACTGCCGTGTTCCCTGGCTAACTTCTACTTCCTGAAACAGGAGAGCCAGAGCTTTTGTTCCCACTGAAATTGACTCACAAGGCATTCATTGACACTAGAGACTACAGCAGATTTATTCAAATAACACGTGTATGACTCCTGAAAATTAACCTGCAGGTTCATCTGCCACGGGCTGATGACAGGAGAGCAGTATGTGTTCAGGGTGAGAGCCGTGAACGCAGCAGGGCTCAGTGACTTCTCCCAGATTTCAGAGCCTGTAGAGGTGAAAGCTGCGATCGGTGAGTGAAATGTTTCAGACTTTATTTCATTTAGTTATGAGAGCGGAATAGATGGATGTTTCTATTTAGAAAACCTCTTCTGGGGTTGTTTGGTTTGTTTCAGATCAGCCAGTCATCAGTTAAGCTGATAATGTTGAATTTTGAATACCAGCCAAATTTTGGGGGCCTCTCTTTTATTTTTCCCCAACCAATGGATTCATCCATCTAAGTTTATATTTGAACATTTTAAGTGTCTGAAAAAGAAAACGTCTTCAATCCAGTTTGTCACCGTCTCCAGTTATTTCTTTATTTTAGAACAAAAACTTCTTCAGCTCTTCATCTGCACTTCCACACTCTTCCTCTTTGGTCTCCACCCTGTCATGTTATTTTACATGACTGTGTAGTCCACCCCTCCACCCCCTCTCCTTTCAACACCACCTCTGCCCTGCACAGCCTGAAGCGGGGTTGGGGTCCGGACTTGTAGACTTCCTCTATTTTGGGTCGGTTCGATCCAATTCAGCGGTTGTTACAAACCAGCCCAGCCATGCCCCTCCACCCCCACCTGTCCCAGACACCTGATGTGTCGGCGCCAAGGTGCTGACACCAACACACGGAACCTCTCACACCCAGAACAACCCTTGTTCTAACCTTTTGTTGTGTTCTACTAAATCTAAAGCATCTTGTAGAGTCATGTAAACATTTATTTATCAATCATTACACGGAAAGTTTACTGCCACTTACACAGGCTTATATAAATAAATATTCACGTTTCAGAACAATTTAATAACTATTCATAAAACAAAATGAACTTTATCAATATTAAATGACTCCATTTATCTATTTGGATCTGTTTTATGGTGGAGATGGCTAGTTTGGTTACAAAAATATTAAAGCTTCTCAGCATGTGTTTGATTCTTTAAAATCAAATTAAAAAACATAACCCTATAGGTATATTTACATCCTGAGGAAAAAGTCTGTAAAATTAAAAAGGGAGAACATAAAGTTTGCAAAAATAATAAATAAACTATTTAAAATAAATATATCATAAGAAATGGCTATTTATTAGCTTTAACAGATCTAGTGGCAAACGTTTTCTTATTTCCAAATATATTGAGCCTCTTTTTTTTTTACCAGGGGCGTGTCTAGGGAGTAGTCTGGGGTAGCAAATGCCACCCTTGGAATCTGACTGGACACAGGTATCAACCCACTGAGTTCCAGTCAACGCGACTTTACGCTGTCCACAAAAGTTTTGGGATTACAAATCCCACAACAGTAGGTGGCAGCATGCACCATTAACACTGGTTTGTAGTCCCAGTCATACAGAACATTTCTGTATTATTGTTATTATTAATATTTATTAGTTTTTCATAATGACTTAAATTATATTTAGGGTCCCAGTCCACTCCACTCCAGTTGGTGGCAGTAATGCTTCAAGACGTGGCTCACCAACTGCCACAAAACACAGAGAGAAAACAGGTCATTCCACAAAGTGGAGATCACAAATTCACTAGTGAGCAAAAAAAAAAGGAATGATTTTGTGAGGGGTAATCAATCACCCTCCCACCACCATCATTAAAAAAAGCACATGTATAAAAAAGTGCCCCACTTGGGCCACCCCATTTTAGAAGGCCTATCACGCCACTGTTTTTTGCTACATTAACCCTTTGATGCATGAACTATCAAATCTTCAACCATGATTTTTTAAAACAATTTTTTTCATTAATCTTTAGGTGTGAATGAAACAAATTTCAACAAATATATTTTGTAACATTTAATAATTTACAAATAGATTATTACATGTCCACCTCAGTAGACAGCATGCATTCTGAACATGAAATATGTTGGCTTGACTTACTGAAATCCAAATGGAGGGGCTCACGTGCAATAAAGTCTTCAACAGCTGTGCTTAATAGCAAAAGAATAAATAAATAAATAAATAACAATTTTGAGTACCTGTCCACTGTAGTGACCAGTATGCATCAAAGGGTTAAAGTCATATTTAATTATTTATTTATTTATTGGTGGTCCCTTAACCCTCTCAGGCTCAAAATAAGTTTTGATAAAAGGACGAACAACTAAGTCCTTCAGGGGTACATCTGAATTAAAAAATGCTCATGAAATACGTATGTGGAGTAACCTGGTAGGTAGGTTTTAACGTTGCAAATCTGCAACGCCTGCCTCCAGAGGGTTAAAAAGGCAGTTAAATGAAAAATGACCTAGTTGTATGTGATCACTTGTGTTCCATATTCAAAAGACTTACGAATTAAACACAATAAAGTGATTATTTTTCTTTGCGCATTTAAGCTACCTACGAAAAATCTTTTTAGGATTAAATTCTAGATTAACACGTATAAAGTGAGCACAGCTACTCAGTATATTTCCAGATCCCCCCAAAAATCGAATCCTCACTTTAGAGAATTTGCAAAAGTGTTGCAATTTTCACAAAAAACAGCATTTTTTTAAACATAAAAACGTTCAGTTTAGCTTGGCAGAGTTTTGTGCATTTCAGGCAAATAGAATTAAACTTCTTTACATTATTTAATATTCCTCGAGGTGTTTAAACTATATTGTAAAGTAGTTCTTGCACGCCCCACCCCGAAGAAAAACATTAATAAAACAAAGCTGCCTGTTTAATAACTGTCAGCTCTTCTGCATGTGTCTTTGCATTCAGAGCATTTACTTACAGAACTAGCTTTGTAAAGATCTATTGTAATTGTTTTTAGTTCTAATAAAGCATCTTGTAAAATGTAAAAAGTAATACTTTTTCAAAACTTAAAGGGTTATTTAATTGCACTTAACCTTTTTTTGTTGCATGAATTAATCACCTGTGTGCTCTCAGAACCATTAATCGTCCTCACCTGGATGTCACCTGTTGGTCATCTTGTCTTCATTTTCCCTCCCAGTCAGATGAAGACATTTCTTTGTATTTGATAGGCTGATGTGATGAATATTACTTTTTTGCTCTCCTGTTTTGATTTTCTTTAGATGTTGCTTGATTTGTAAGTTTAAAGAGCCTCTCTTTTGCTTTCTTTGCTAACACCCATAGGGGGCGGCATCCCACACGGTGTGTTGTCAACGATGGGGGGTAACGCGTGCCAACTAACCGAGCACGAGCCACGCTGGACGGACGCGCATGACGCTGTCCAGCCTTCCCCTGACATGGTTGAAAAGCACAATAAAGCTGACACTGAAACTGGGGAGGGGGTTGGGGCTGCAGGTTCAGACCCGGCAGAGCCAGAACCCTTGGTGTGTGAAGGCAATGGGGGCAGGAGGGGGAGTGTGACCCCTGACCTGGTAGAGAACCTCCTCTCAGAGTCAGGCTCAGTTTCTGAAACACTCACTGACAAAATCACATCTACACACTTTGAGCAAGATGCTGCTCAGATCTGGGATTAAACTGAGTCTGAGGCTGGTGAGAGTCAAAATGAGAACTTTTAATTTCAAAATGGTAAGAAATCAGTTATTTCTACACATTTAAACCTATACAACGATTGTAAAAGGAATCCTGGTGTTGTATCCATCCAATCCATCAACAGTCCTAATAAACCGTGTTCTATTTACGGTAAGTCCCACTAAACACCAGTTATTATTGTTCAGATCTACGCTATTCAATCCAACCTCCACTTTCTATCAGCCTCTTCCCTAACTTGCTGTCCCTGACAATGGGACTCCCCTCCACACTGCAAATTATTTGCAGCTTAACAAGATTTGTTGTCTTTAATCTAGCCAAATTATCTTCTCCATCTTGTTTTAAACATTACAAGCTAGTTTCCAGTCTAATGCGTTAGAAGATCAGTCTTGTTTTAAGTTAATTTTGTTTTTTATTCTTATGTAGTCTGTAAATCTTAAATTTAACCATTTTACATTAATTTCAAGCAAAAAAAAATTCATCTATCGTTTCAAATAAAAATCTTTCTCAAAATAAGAACCACTCACTTGATTTTCTTTAAATAAGAAAAACACAGTCCCATCAACATATTTATTATAGGTTTAAAGCAATGACATCTTCAAGGTTATATTTTGTCATAACAGACACAGTTTTTGAAATTGACTGTGTAATATGAGGTATAATCAAGTAGGTTTTCAACATCAGTCAGTTTGGTTGCTTGGGCAAGGTTAGGTATTGCAACTTCATAGACAAGAAACTCTTTGTTAAAACCCAATGTTTCATACACCTGGTATTCAAAGCAATATAGCACACTATTAACAATGAAAATGTTTTTTATAAGTCCAAAGGTAGGGATTAAACCATTTGCTGAAATAAGAATCATGGATCTGTCACAGATGTATTTGCTACCATGTGAAATAAGCCACTTTACTCTAACAGCATGATGTACAGCATCTTCAATGCCCAAAAAATCTACAACCTTTGATTGTAAATGATTAATATTAGATACATCTGATACAGGACCTAGTTCTTTTTCATGTAAAAAAATTGGATGCTCAATTCCTGTTTCACTTTGACAACACTCCAGCAGCTGATTGTGGTTTACAAGAGACTTGCACACATTCTTAAAATTTTATTTGGATGACCATTGTTTAAAAAAAAACTGTTTAGACTCGAATCTCATGCACATATGCCGTATTACAGGTCCCAGAGCAATAATCTGAGAGGGAAGATGTAGCATGTAATGTTGCTTTGGGATTACATTGTTTTCAGGAAATAGTTGTCTGAATTGTTTAAGATGATTCTCTATCATCTGTTTTAGTTTGGACACAGTTTGTACAGACAAAACTGGGGCAAAAAGTATTTTAACAATTTCAATTAAATCCAAAATAAACTGGATATATGGATTTTTCTCCACAACACAGTCCAATAAGAATGGCAAAATCTTGATCAATATAAGCATCTGTCCAGAGGATTGTTTGAGTCTGTTGTCACTTGAAGCTAAAGTAGCTATACTAATTGGTGAAGGCTTGTCACATATGTCTGTTGATGAAAAAGGAAAAGTCTGCATGGCAGAATTAAAAATGTCCAACTCTAAATTTCCAGATAAAACAAGATATTTCAACACACACTTAATTTCCATTGGTGCCACTCCTTCAAGAATTATATGCATAATATCCTGTGGCATTTGCTCTATGAGATTAAAACCTGGGAAATCAACTAACTTGCTTTGTCTATTTATGCCAAAAGTCGTTTTAAGCGAGGATTTTAAGAATTCAGTAGTTGCCCTATCAATTTCTTTGCATTGTCTTATGTGTCCGTCCAATGTCCGTCTGGTGAAACTCTGTTCATTGAAATTTGCTTGCATTTCATCAAAAGTACACTCACAATGGCGGCATTTGCTATATGCAAAACCAACTCCTTCCTTAAATCCTGCAAGCTCATGCTGGGCAAGAGTGTCTCCACACACAGCAATAACTGCTCCATTTAAATAAAATTCCCCATTCACAGTGTTAATCATAACACCGTCATACAGCAACTTCAAGTCCTCATCAATTCTCTGCAGTATAATGTCTACCCCACACTCATCTATGTCTTTAGACTTTGCGATTCCAATAAGTCTGATTGAAGCCAGCTTCGATCTAAACTTAGGGTCTATGTTGCCTAATGTGTAATAAAACATTAATAATTTATTTACACCTGCACGTGACCCTAGGGGGTTACAAATTTCTATCTCATCAGAATACAATATAAGTTGTAAGGCAGAGTTCTTCTTAGAAAACAGTGGGTGGGTTTTGAAAATAATTCCATCATTAATGTCATACAAAAAATTGGCCTTGGAGCAACTTTGAGGTGCAGCACTGAACATGTCAAATAGTCTTGAATTGGATAGTAGCTGTTTCAAACTATCAATCAGAGGGATGTAGTAGAAAGACTTGTTTTTGATTGCAAGAACTCTAGATTCTCCCTTTTTAACTCTACAGGCATACTTGGAAATGATGATCTCCTCAGGTGAAACTGGGTTAAAATGCATCTGTGTTGCTGGGTCCTGTAGGTTAATAGCTGCACATAGAGGAAAGTGGTCCTGAAAGTTGTCCAGTGTTGAAAGAACTTCTGCTTGTAAAGGTCCAGTGCTGTCAGGATGCCTTTGTAGGATGGTCTTCATTTCTTCTCTCAAGGATGCCAGAAGAGCCGTTTGATACTGTTGAACACCAAGGACAATGTTGTTCACACTCGTCTGATGGGAAAAAAAAAATAAAATTAGAGAAGTGGAAATGTAAATAATATGAAAAACATAGCAAAGCAACTCAATGACTGTCCTCATCTGAAATGTTTCTTTAACATAGAATGTGCTACTACTACTGCAGCTGTAGAAATAGTTCAGATTCACACAAATAAGCTTCTAAAGAATCATAAAATGAGCAGCCTCAGAAACACTATTAAGTAAATGTGGTGCGTGCGTGCGTGCGTGTGTGTGTGTGTGTGTGTGTGTGTGTGTGTGTGTGTGTTCTTGTCTTCTCGATCCCCAGTGAGTCGTGGTGGATGGCTGCTTATACTGAGCCAAGTTCTCTGGAGGTTTCTTCATGTTAAAAGGGAGTTTTCCTCTCCACTGTCGCTAAATGCTTGCTTAGTATGAGGATTGCTGTAAAGACACTGACACTAGTCAGTGACTCAATGCAACCTGCTGGGTTCCTTATATAGGAAACTTTTTACTGAGTGGCATACCTAACTGTTTACTGTGTGAAGTGCCCTTAGACGACTCTTGTCGTGATTTGGCGCTATATAAATACAATGCATTGAATTGTTAACTTTTTTCAGTGTTATTTATTTATAGTAAAATAGTAATGAAAAAACTTGTTAAGGTTAAAATATCTTTTCACTCCAGTGAACTACACTTTAAAATTATCCCCTTTTTTCCAAATGAACAATGACACAAAAATAGGGGGTATTATTAGATGAGGCAGTACCTGTGATAGGTGGCATTGCTCACACACACCAATAGCAAATGCAGCTGCACATCTGGCGAGAGCAACAGGTTCTCTTACGCCCTACAGGACCAAAGAAAGACAATTGTGTAAGAAAAGTAACACCCTGAATGTGTTTCCAATTCTATCAGTAACTAAACAAAGCAAAACAAATATTACAACAGTTGGTTGTATTTATTTGCAATTACAAAATTAATACGATGAGGCATATCTAGTCAAGCTGCACATTTTGTAAACAATTTAGGAATTATTTAATAAATTTAAGCAATCTTTATGGAATTGACTCCTAAGTTAAGTGAACCCGCTTGTTGAAAGCTGCTGGCTCACTGTTAAGTCAGTTACACCAATTATACACCAGTAAATAAGGAGAAGTTTAAATCGGTTTAAAATATTGTAACTCAGCCTACAATATTTTACAAATATGAACTTCAGTAGACACAATTTGAAAAAAAAGCTGACAACACAACAAACAAGTCAAATAAATAAATATGGAGGAACCATAACAGCATCAGTAAACATCATGTCTGAGCTCTGTGTGGAATATTCATATTCATAGTGATGTTCACTTTGATGCCTAAGTTTGCCTAAAATATTTTAATATAAATAAATGTGTATTTCTGTGTCTGTTTTTGTGTATTACGATGTACATTGATTTTACTTCAGTATGCCTGTAAGAAATTGACAGAAAAGTGACAACAAACAAGTGATGAGGTAAAGGATAAACCATCTGAGACAAGCTTCAGTGCTAGAAAGCTTCATTTGGAAGATATTCATAAATCACACACACACACACACACAAAGTACATTACCTGATTCTGACGTGGTGTTTGAACATCCGATTGGTCTTTGTCCATCAGATTCTGACTTTCCTGTCGCTCCTGCTCCAACACAACCGACGTTTGTGGGAAATCTGGTGTTTCTGCTTCAATTGGTCTTGTTTCGGTAGTACAGTCGGTAAAAATAGCTGTACCAAAATGTTCACTTCCTAACAGATTTGCATCGAATGAAGCTGAGAGACAACCTGTGGGAGGTTTCCCAGCAGCGAAATATTGTGAATGTGTCCGTCTGAGATGGTAGTAGAAAGAGTTGAAAACGCGGTATTCCTCGGTGCATCCATCGACTCCACAAATGACACGGAAATCCGGACTGCGACTGTGTGCAGTATTAATGTGACTTAAAAGTGACTTCAGCGTTAATGCAACAAAAACAAAGCAAATAACGCACCTCCAGCAGGCCATTGTATAACTACAAAGTCACGCATAAAATGCTGGTTTATAGTCAAGTTCAAAAGCTACTCTTTAGCTGCTTCACCTATGAGCCGGAAGTGGAACTTCTACCACGCTAGTTTGGAACATACCAACTTGATGGGGTTTTTATCTTAACTATGTAACAAAATAAAACTGCCCCAAAAAAGACACTGAAATGAAATCCATAAGACAAGTTATTTAATAGAATAAGAGATTTAAATATACAAACTTTTATCATGAATGTACAAATTACTAAAATATATGTAGAAGCAAAAATTTAGATTTTCACCCCCTTCTTGTTCCGTGTTAGTTGTTACCCAACTCCATTTTATTTGCATGCGGGCGATCTTCGTTACAGTGGCAAGAAAAAACTGTATGAGAACAAACACTTCATGAATAGAGAGAGGTAAGCAATTTTAAAATGTGATATATAAGCAAGAGAGAGTTAAGCTATTTTAAAATGTTATATATAAGTGGTGTTCAGCCTAATTGTTGTTTTCAACTCAAGCGGACAGAATAGATTTTATTTGGGCGGGAATGTCTAACGGAGCATGCTAACAAATGCTAGCGTTAGCTTAGCATCCCTGGCACGAGTTTTAGAGAACAATTATTAAATAAATTAGCAAGTCTCCTTTTCCCATTTTACAGCTAAACAGCGGAGCATGTCTGCTGGACATTCATCTTAATCATCCTCCTGAAAAAATCTTCTTTTGTTATTATTTTTATATTAATTAGATTTATTAAAGTGGGCTCAATAGTTTTATTCAGGAATCAAAAAATCTAATCAAATAACAAAATATATTTGTTTTGCAGGTGATTGAGCTATGGAGAAGCTGGATCACGTAACAGTATCTATCCTTACAGGTTAGATTTCATATTACATGTATGTGTGTGTGTGTGTGTATTTATGTGTGTGTGTGTGTGTTTAACTGGCATTTGTCTTTTTGTTAGCTGCATGCATTGACGAGCCCATGCTCTTAACTTTGAGCCGCGAGGATCTGAGGGACCTGTTTCCTGGGCCTGAACACTTTCTCACTAGAAAGCGTGTGTGGTCAGTAATTCACCCTGAGGTATTGTGTAAAAATATTTATTTCAGCAAATCTCTAGAAAGTGTGCTTTTATTTTTGCATTACTTGAAACTTTTCTTTTCTCACCCTAAACCAGGAAGACCATCCTGTAACACAGACCCCTGAAACATATTCTTCACCCAGGGTAGTTCCAACAGCCAGGCCTCAAAGTCCTGATGCTAAAAAAAGCCAGCAGAAGACCTTGCAGCTCCCCAGTCCTCCGGAATATGTAGTGTACACAGACAGTGAGTTGGAGCAATGCAGAAAGAGTTACTATGATTTGGCCCATGTCAGCCGGGAACATGAATGTGTCATGTCCAAAGAACTGAGATGCAGACTAGTGAGAAATACAATCACAAGTATGGTGTCCCTTTTGAGAGCAAGCGAAGGCCAAATGGAGCGATACCCCTCTAAGAATGAAATCACTGCAATGGCTAAAATAATCGTGGAATATTATCCTATGCTAAAGGATAATGATGCAAGCGTGAAACACGTAAGTTCGTCTATTTGTCTCCTCCATGAATCATTTTGTTTTGTTTAGTAAGCATGAAATATATGCATTTGTCACCAGGAGAGCATCAACGCAAAGTTACTAAAAAGGCTGCAAAATATGAAAACTCCTGTAAAAAAGCAAGGACCAACACCAGACAGGGGCCGGCCAAAGAGAAGACTCACTGACCTCTCTCCAACTGATAAAGAAGCTGATGATGAAGATGCTGATTGCAGTTCTTCCAGTGGTGCATCTAATCTGCTGTTATCACCTGCAAGCAGTTCTGATGCTTCCACTTCATGTGAGTACATACATGTAATTTTTTAAAATGTTTATCGACACACAAGCCATATAGCCAATGTTATGTATAAGTCTATAAAATGCTCTTGTACTTCTCCCCATTTTAGCTGACAGGGTTAGTCCGCAAATACAAGCAAGACTTTACAGAAGATTACAAGAAATGTGCAAGAAGCCGAAACCAAACCAAGAAGATGTGTCCCAGTTATTAGACCTTGAGTTTGACTCCAGAAGAGCCTTCATTGACTCAGACTCCTTGAAAGAGGAGAACCGAGCTTCCCACATCTTGGATGCATATCCATGCTTTAAAGAACTGCATCATGTACGCTATTGGGAGAGTTCATAATTGGAATCAAATTAGAAATGTATTTTCTCTGTTATTTGAGTTATTTTATTTTTTATCTGTGTTTAATATTGTAGGTGTTGGGTGAGCTGCGCAGAATTTTGGATCCTCACAACAACAAGTTCATCAGTCAAATCAAACAAAGATGGCAAGAATTTTGCTCCAGGGTGGAATTCTATGGCGTGTCAAAGAAGGCAATGAATCCACCAATGACTATGGACAAAAGTAAGCATAAAAATTTGAATACAAAGTTCTCATCCTTTTAAATGTAAGTTTATGCAGGTTTGTTTTTGCTGTGTACAGCTGAAGCCCATCTTGCATTGATGAAGGCTCTTCCAACGCTCTTTCCCTCACCTGCCCATCCACCCAAAAAGATGGGGACTGCTTCTGATGCATTTCTACATGTCCTGAAGGTTTGTTTTGTGTAATTTGCTTTATAAAGATATACTACAGACTCACTACAACAAAATGAAGGAGGGGTAATGCTAAATCAAGTTTTTATAGCATTGTTCTCTAAAATAAAACATCCATGGAGTAGTTTAAAGTCACTCATGCATGTGACTCTTTCACCGGGACTATTCTTTAGGTAGCTTTTTTTCAAGCTCTTCCATTTTTTTCCTCAATGTTTCTCCTGCTGTTCGAAGTGACCAGAAAAAAGCATTATAAGTGTTGCCTGCTATTTCTAGGGACTTATGGCCAGAGACAGATAAACCATGAGTTAAAACACAAAAAGTGTGTAACCAACAAAGAAAAGGGTTAAATGTTTTTGAGGTTATGACTAAAAATGTGTGCCATGTCTGTCTTGCAGCCTACAGAAGATCCAGATGCAGTCCTCCAGAAACGAAGCTTGTCATGTCCAGTGGTGATGTTCGATGGATGCAAGTGTGTTATTGCTGTTGGGAATTTGCCAGTTACAACATTTGACAAAGAAAAACTTGGTGAGGGTATGATTTATGTGATGGCATACTTTTATACACTCCATCTGACTTATCCCAAATGCGTGGCAACCCTACTGTCTGTCATTCAGACAGAAGTTCTCCAGGATGCTATTCATGAGCGTGACACTACATCATATTACAAAAAAGCCCTGGCCGAATGGTACGCATTTATTGGAAAGTAGTTGTACATTTAGTGAGATTATGGGGGTACAGTTACTGATGGAACTGTAATTTAAAGAGCTGCACAGACCAGAGATCCCCCCTTTTCTTTCACTTAGTTACATTCAATGTATTTTATATTCATTATTGTGCCTTTTACTATAACATTCCAGGTTCATTCGGTCAGACACTAGGATTATAAATGTAGAAATCCTCATGTTTAATCCGCCATCATCTATGGCCTGCAGATGGTTACTGAAATATCTCATGTCTCTGACCAAATGAACCTTGAAAGTTATACTAAAAACCTGTTGATTTATGCTTGTGATATTGTTCATGTTGTTTCTATTATAACATTGGTTTTGGTTTTATGTTGAGGACAACGCAGAACTCTTCATCAAGTTCTCTCATAAAAGTGCAGCATTTTTGTTCATGTTTGCATATTTCAGTAATTCTCTACACTACATTTAGTTTGATCTCAGTAGAAACAAAAGTTGACATGTTTAAACAGGTTTAACCCTCCCACTGTCCTAATGGGTGTGACCCCACGAGGAAGTAGATCATTGAGCAGGGTGGATGGTGTATCCCTTGGGTCCATGTGGCAGGGGTGAGGAGTGAGCACCACCTCACCCCTGCCACATGGACCCAAGGGATAAACCATCCACCCTGCTCAATGATCTACTTCCTCGTGGGGTCACACCCATTAGGACAGTGGGAGGGTTATAAGGAAATTGTCAGACCTGTACAAGGCACATTTTCATTTGCATACCTGTGTGTAATTGTTAAAGTGGAGAAATAAAAGTTTGACACTTCCTCCGTTTCAGTTTTATTATATTTAGTCCATAATGAGAAATATAATCTTATAGCTCTACTTTTAGGATTTATTTGCTAAATTTAAGGGTAAAAAGCAGGAAAAAATTGTTAAATTTACTTGTTTTTAGATTATTTGCCTTATTTGTTCCTTAGAGTAAGTGTTTTATGCTTATTTGCAGATTTAACTTCCACAGTTTTTTGCTTAGAACAACTGGTAACAGCTTATTTTAAGATTCTATTGTAATTTTCATTGCCTGAAATAGGCATGTAAGGCTTATTTCAAGATTTAATTGTCTTGTGTGTTGCCTAGAATAAGTGTAAAACACTTACTTTTAGCTTTGTTTAAGTCTAGATATTATTCTTATTTCAAGAAATCTTAGTAAGAAAAATTCACTCACTGCACTGGCAGATAATTTAACTTGTTTTTAGTTATTATTGACTTTAAAAAAGTGTATTTGTCTAGTATTAAGCAGGTTGGTTTTTGCAGTGCACCCTGACTCTCCTACAATCAGGAGCAGCTCAGTCTCACCCGGCCCTACAAGTGGGTCACCCAACAGCACAGGAGCAGGACACATGACCTTTCAGGAACTGCTGTTCATCAGAACTCTAAAACTCTCTTTCTCAGACCCACTTTTCAGCCTCTAAACAGGACAACGTTCAAGTTCAGAACTCACACTTGCATGCTTTATAGTTTATATCACTGTGTGCCATAAATTCTATGTAACATGTACTTTTTAAACAAATTTACAATAAGCTATTCATTTGAAAAACATGTGCTTTGTGTGAAAACTTTACTTAGCAGCATGTCTGAACAAAATAATTTGATGGATTAAAAATGATGATTGCATTAGAGCAGATGGTCAGTTTCCCATTATTTCACTTTCCCATGACCTCAGCCTCCCTGCAGAGGCTCTGAGGTGTTAATTTAAGTCCTCTGTCCCAGCCTCTCCTGCTCCACCCTATGGCATCACCATTCTGGAGTGTGTGCGTGACTCCATGGTGCTGGCCTGGAAACAGCCGACCTTCATCGGAGGCGCTGACATCACAGGCTACTTTGTTGATTACCGTGAGGTCATCGATGGTGTGCCAGGGAAGTGGCATGAGGCCAACATCAAGGCCGTCAGCGAGAGGGCCTACAGGGTAAGTGGATCCAGATTTTTGGATGAAGGTTTGGTTAGCAGTGGTCATTGATTCTGGGTCTGCAGGTGTCTGACCTGAAGGAAAACAGGAAGTACCAGTTCCAAGTGCGAGCAGCCAACATGGCGGGTGTGGGTATACCATCAATGCCCAGTGATACCTTCCTGTGTGAGGAGTGGACCATCGCGGTGCCAGGTTAGTCAGTCCAAAAGTATTTATAATTAGGTTATCAATTAAGTTTAAAAATTTTAAAACATTAACAATTTTAGTTCCATTAATAAGCTAACAGATTTAAATAGCTATATTTAAGGAAGTCCAAAATCTTTCATACCAGGTTCTCAAATCAAAATCTCTTTGTGCCTTTCACACTCACATGCACATGTGAGTGCACTTTTAGCACTCATGAATAATGTTTAATTTTTAACATTAATTTAATTCTAGCTAGAGACGGCTGGTTCCCCCTTCACATCTCGGAGATCGTGCTGACTGATTACGACTGCAGAAGGCTGTTGTTGCTTCAGCGTCCAGGAGAGAGTAGAGCACGTCTCTGCTACTAGAAGCTAAGCGTTAGCATTCGCCACTTCATACCATGGCAGAACTTTGCCAGACTTGTGTTTCTTGTGGAGATAACACTTTAGTGGGAATGAAGTTCAATGAGTTAAATGCTCGTCTAGTTAGGGCTTTCTCAGTTTCGGCCCCCAAACTGCAGATTATCCTTCCACTCACGGTCAGACAAGCAGCCTCACTGCCAGATTTTATGGGTCAGATGAAGACACACTTTTATACAGTGGCATTCCCTCAACACGTGAGTTAGCCTTAGTTTTAGACAAATTAGCTAATTTGTATCCAGTTGTTTTTAACTTATTTTATCTTGTTTTTTGTTTGTTTGTTTTTACCCAATTTTATTGCTTTTATCTCCTGCTTTTATTTGTTTTCTGTATATTGTTTTATTTTTGGCCATTGAATGTTTCAGTAATATTTAAAAATATCCATGCGTGTACAGCACTTTGGTTCATCTCCTGGCAGAAGTAAAGTGCTATAAAAATAAAGATGATGGTGATGGTGATGATGATGATGATGATGATGATGATGATGATGATGAAGGCAGTGGAGTTGCATTGCTCTTAGCCAATCAGAGGCATATCATGAATAGCAATGAGTAAGAATCCAAATCTGGCCATTTCCCGCCCATTTTCCTAAAACAGAAGTGCCAGAGCTTTTATTTATTTATTTTGCAGGAACAACTCAAAAGGCATTCATTCATATTAGAGACCACAACAGATTTATTCAAAAATTGAGTGAATGAGAGCTTTAACAAAGCACAGAATCAAATATCTGACCAGGATTCCAGCATTTAAGGTGGAATATGGACATTTTATTTAAAAAGTGTCAGGCTGATCAGACTGGATGAAGGAGACGAACAAGGTGAGACGTTTAATAGTTTTATTAGTTCTCTGGTCGTATCTCCGTGAGGAAGAAACGATGACTGAGATGAGAAGCCGGTCACGGCGTCTTCCATATATAGCCTTGCTTGGCTGTGACGTGGAGGGAATCCCCGCGAGGAGCACGCCGGGAGCTCCCCACGAGGAGCATGTCGGGAGTTGTGGTCCGAAGGTCAGCCGGGAGATACCTGAGTTCTGACAGGACCCCCCGGTCCAGGGACGGCTCCAGAAGTCCCAGCGCGACCCCGGCGGACCCAGAAGTCAGAGATCAGGGAAGGGTCCAGGATGGACCGAGCCGGCTCCCAGGAGCGTTCCTCGGGGCCATAGTCCTTCCAGTCCACCAGGTACTGCCAGCCCCGACCCCTGCGGCGAGCGTCCAGGATGCGCCGGACGGTGTAGATAGGATCACCGTCGAGGAAGCGGGCAGGAGGCGGCGCCGGAGCCGGAGGCGGGAGAAGGGAGGACTCCACGTAGGGCTTGAGCCGGGAGGTATGGAAGGTGGGATGGATGCGGAGAGTAGCCGGCAGCCGCAGCCGGTACGTGACCGGGTTGATGACCCTTTGGATGGGGTATGGGCCGAGGAACCGAGGGGCGAGTTTCTTGGACCCGGCACGGACCCGAAGGTCAGCCGTGGACACCCAGACCTTGTCCCCAGGAGCATAGGAGGGACCAGGACGGTGTCGACGGAGATGCTGGTGAGCATAGCTGGTGTTAGCTCTGGCTATGGAGGCTCGTGCTTTGATCCAGGCGTTCTTGCAGCGTCTCACCATGGCTTCCGCTGCCGGAACGGCGACCTCGGGTTCTTGGTGGGCAAAGACCGGGGGCTGGAAGCCATAGCAGACCTCGAAAGGGGACAGCCGAGTGGCAGATGAGGTGTGAAGATTGTGGGACAGCTCCGCCCAGAGGAGGTATTTAGGCCACTGCGAGGGTTGAGCCGAGACAAAACAACGAAGGTACCGACCCAGCTGTTGGTTAGCCCGCTCCGTCTGGCCATTGGTCTGCGGGTGGTAGCCTGAAGATAGACTGACCGATGCTCCCATCAGCCGACAGAAAGCTTTCCAAAACCGGGCCGTGAACTGGGGCCCCCGATCCGAGACCACGTCGACTGGGAACCCGTGGAGGCGCACCACGTTCTCCAGGAACAGTTCCGCTGTGCGTTGGGCTGAGGGGAGACCCGGAAGGGCGATGAAATGGACAGACTTGGAAAAGCGGTCCGTAACCGTCATGACAGTGTTGAGGTTATTGACCGGCGGGAGACCCGTGACGAAGTCCAGCCCCACGTGGGACCAGGGGCGGCTGGGCACCGGAAGAGGTCGGAGGGCACCAGCCGAGGCCTGGTTGGGGTTCTTGCAGCGGGCACAGACATCACAGGCGCTGGTGTATTCTTTCACATCCCTCGCCATGCCTGGCCACCAGAGGGCTCGCTGGAGGAATTTAAGCGTTCTGGAGAAACCAGCGTGGCCAGACAGGCGTGATGAGTGGGCCCAGGACAACGCCTCGCTGCGACAGGCCGTGGGGACATAGAGGCGACCCGCGGGGGTCTCTGGAGGCGCGGGGTCGTCCCGGAGGGCGTTCTGGATAGCTTCCTCCAACGGCCACCTCAGTTGGCCCAGGAAACGGTGTTCCGGGAGGATTGGCGCTGGCTCGGACGAGGGCGTGGAGTGGGTGAATTGACGGGAGAGGGCGTCCGCCTTCTGGTTCTTGGCTCCCGGGCGGTAGGCGAGATGGAAGTCGTAGGGTTCAAAGAAGAGGGCCCAGCGAGCCTGGCGAGGATTAAGCTGCTTGGCAGATTTAATGTGGGTCAGGTTCTGATGGTCAGTCCAGATCGTGAAAGGCCGAGTGGTGCCCAGAAGCCACTGCCTCCATTCCTCCAATGCCCATTTTATGGCCAGTAACTCACGGTCGCCCACACCGTACTTCTGCTGGGTGGTGGAAAACTTCCTGGAGAAGTAGGCGCAGGGATGGAGCCTGTCGTCGGGCCCGCCTTGAGACAGGATGGCGCCGGCGCCGACGTCAGAGGCGTCGACCTCGACCACAAAGGGAACTGCAGGATCTGGATGGCGGAGGATCGGGGCTGAGGTAAAGCGGGTGACCAGGTGGCGGAAGGCCCGAATGGCGTTGGGAGTTAGACGAAACAGCTGGCCAGGGGAGCCTGGTCGAGTGAGAGAGGTGAGAGGGGCTACGAGGGTGCTATAGTTCTTTATGAAACGGCGGTAAAAGTTGCAGAAACCCAGAAAACTCTGCAGTTGTTTCAGGCTGGTTGGCAAGGGCCAGTCCTTCACCGCCTGGATTTTCTGAGGGTCCATGGTTATGCCTTCATCCGAGATCATGTAGCCCAGGAAGGATATGGACTGCTGATGGAAGGAGCATTTCTCGGGTTTACAGTACAGGTTGTGGTCCAGGAGCCGGGTCAGGACGGCGCGAACATGATGGATGTGTTCGGCCTCGGATTTGGAGTAGATCAGTATATCGTCCAGATAGGCGAACACCCACCGTCCCAGCATGTCGCGGAGGACATCATTAATGAGACGTTGGAAGACAGCAGGGCTATTGCATAGTCCGAAGGGCATAACCAGGTACTCCCAGTGGCCGGTGGGTGTTATGAACGCGGTCTTCCACTCATCCCCGGCCTTTATACGGACCAGATTGTAGGCGCTCCGGAGATCCAGTTTCATAAAGATCCGTGCCTGGGAGATGGCATCCAGAGCGGTAGTGAGGAGCGGCAGAGGATGGCGGTCCTTGACCGTGATCTTGTTCAGACCCCGATAGTCTATGCAGGGGCGAAGATCGCCTTCCTTTTTCTTCACGAAGAAGAAGCCAGCGGCACCCGGAGAGGAGGAGGGTCGGATGAACCCCTGCTGGAGGGCCTGGGCGATGTATTCTTCCATCGCTTTGGTCTCGGGAGGCGCGAGAGAGAAAAGGCGCCCGCGGGGAGGACTGGTTCCGGGTAGCAGCTTGATCTCCATATCATATGGCCGGTGAGGTGGCAGGGAGGTGGCGCGCCGCTTGTCGAACACCGCGGCCAGGTCCCGATAGGGCAGCGGCAGGTGGGGCGGTGTGGAGCCGGGGCCCCCGTCCGGAAGACCCGCCGAGGATGGAGGAGGAACGAGGTGGGTCTGGCACGAGGTCCCCCAGCCCAGCAGGCGGTTCTGGGACCAGGAAATATGAGGGTCGTGGAGACGGAGCCAGGGGAACCCCAGGATTAGAGGAGAAGAGGGAGCAGAAATGACCAGGAAATGGAGGGTCTCCTGGTGGCCTTGGGTGATCATACGGAGTGACTGGGTTCGGTCTCGGACTGGGTAGGGTTGGAGAGGCCTACCGTCCACCGAGGTCACTGGTATAACTCTCTCCAGGGGTTGTAGGGGGATCCGTAGGCGTTTTGCCAGATCTAGGTCCATGAAATTGTCCGCGGCCCCCGAGTCCACCAATGCGTTTACGTGGAGTGAGGCCTCACCATGGAGGAGGGTGACAGGAATAAGGAGACGGTTAGTAGCGACAGGGGTAGAAGAAGACCCAGACTGAGCAACCCCAATACTCAGTGGGGCCCCCCGTTTCCCGATCGTAGCGGGCAGTCCAGGCGTCGGTGGTCGGGAGAGCCACAGTAGGCACAGAGGCCCTCGCGCCACCGTCGTTGTCTCTCCTTGGGGGGAAGGTGGCCGAGCTTCATGGGCTCCTCCGCCAGCATGGGTACAGGAGCTGGCGTGGGTGAACGAGGGCGAGGCACCGGCGTCCTGGGTGGACGTGTGGATAACTTGGGTCGAACCAGAACCCGCTGGTCGTTGCGCAGCGCCAGATCAACCACCTCATCCAGGGTCTGAGGCAGCTCCCTTCCCGCCAACTCATTACGGATGTAGGGTGCCAGCCCCTCCAGGAAGGCGGCCCGCAGAGCGGAGTCATTCCACTGCAGCTTGGCGGAGATGGTGCGAAACTCCGACGCATAAGCGCACACCGAGCGCTCTCGCTGGCGGAGTTTGAGAAGGCGTGTCTCTGCTCCCACTTCGCTGCTGGGGGGAACAAAGGTCTTCCGGAGAGCGGACACAAACGCAGCATAGTCGTTGCAGGCAGGGGATTTGGAATTGTAAAGCGCAGCAGCCCACTCCGCGGCGCGTCCGGAGAGCAGGGAGGTGAGATGCGCCACTCGGGAGCGCGCAGATGGGTAGCGTCCAGGTTGGCACTCGAACTGCATGTCCAGCGTGGCGAGCAGACCATCGGGGCTCCCCGTCTCTCCGTTCCACCTCTCCGGCAGGCTGAAGTGGGGCTCCTCCCTAGGAGCAGAGCGGGTTGGCTGCTGGAGCGCAGCGATCTGTTGCTGCTGATCGTTTGCCTGTTGTTGGAGAGCCGTGAGAGCCGTGGATAGACGCAGGGTGTGGTCGGACAAGGAGTTCACCTTGGTGTTGAGCTGATCTACCATGGAACGCAGCTGCACGTTCTCGTGGCGGAGACGATCGATCTCCGTCGAATCTATTAGGATCTCAGTCATCCTGTCAGGCTGATCAGACTGGATGAAGGAGACGAACAAGGTGAGACGTTTAATAGTTTTATTAGTTCTCTGGTCGTATCTCCGTGAGGAAGAAACGATGACTGAGATGAGAAGCCGGTCACGGCGTCTTCCATATATAGCCTTGCTTGGCTGTGACGTGGAGGGAATCCCCGCGAGGAGCACGCCGGGAGCTCCCCACGAGGAGCATGTCGGGAGTTGTGGTCCGAAGGTCAGCCGGGAGATACCTGAGTCCTGACAAAAAGCTATGTTTAGAAAAATTATACCTGCACAGGGCCTGTAGAGGTGTGCAGAAGGAACATACAAATTTTCATTTAAAAGCTACATTTAAAAAAATAAATAATCAAATTTAAATTTTGCCAGGCACAACACTGGGTTTATGTTTTCATCTACCAGCCACTAGAGGGCACCGTTGCTAAAGGTCTGCTCGGCAAGGCTGGGACTGTGTTAAATGGCAGACTCGACAAGTCAAGCAGCTGATTCTTAACCGTCGTAAAATAAACTTATTAGTAGAAAACAGTCCTTACCATGTATGATTTATCACTCAACATGGTGCTGGCTGGTGGAACAAACACCCCAACGGCTGGAAAGTGTTTTCTGTTGTAGCTATCACCTCTAGTGTTTACTAGATGTCACCAGAGTTTTCCATATTCAACCTTTAATGTTGCCCCATGAATGCCGAGGTCTCCACCCCTTTTTTTCTTTCTTTTTTTTTTTCTTTTGCAGGAGTGACTTTTGTTTAAGCGTTAGGGCAAAGAACCAGGAATCACACTTCTGCCACCCTTTGTAGATCCTGTCCCCTACAAAAAAATAGGGGACAGGAATTTTTTGTGCCTTCTTGGCCAGATTTCCTTTGAAAAATATATACTAATGTCAGTAAGATGTTTATCTGGTACAATATAGGCCACAATAAAAACAGGGTACCCTGATTGTTGATTTTTACATAATTTATCGTAAGATTAGATCATTTTTTAAAGATAAACAGCAGAATATTCCTTAAAACGTGACTTGTACTCCATATTCCAGTTCTGCTGTCCCTAGAGAAAACGTCACATCTTCAAATACAGTTGGTATAGTTTTTGTGAACACTTGAAGTTTGCAGGTCCTCTTAAATCCATAAAAGTTTGTAAAAGAAGCCACTGATCTTTTCCTAAACCTAAAGACGTGTTTCTGCAGGACCACCTCACGATTTGCAAGTTAGAGAAGTGCGAAATGACTCCCTGGTGTTGCTATGGAAACCTCCCGTGTACCAGGGCCGCGATCCTGTCAATGGTTTCTACGTTGACATAAAAGAAGCAAACGCACCAGAGGAAGCCTGGAAGGGAGTCAACACCAAGGCCACAGAGAAGACATATATCAAGGTCATCACCTCTCTGAGATGTTTGTCCTCACACACGGCCCCACATAACACTGGATCAGAACTTTTTTTTCTTTAAATGCGCAGGTTCAGAATCTTAAAGAAGGAGAAATGTACGTGTTACGTGTGCGTGCTCAGAATAAAGCGGGTGTTGGGAAAACCTCAGAAGTTACAGAGCCAGTTCCTGCTGTGACCAAACCAGGTAGCAAGAAGGTGATGGTGGACTCGTCAGGTGTGGCGTGGCTGTGTTTTGAAATAACCTCTGATGTTCTTAGGCACCAAGGAGATAGTGGTGGATGTTGATGATGACGGTATCGTCTCCCTGAACTTTGAATGCGGCAACATGACCCCTGACTCTAAATTTGTGTGGTCCAAGAACTACGAGGACATCCCTGACTCTAATCGCCTGAATGTAGAGACCAAGGGAAACAAGTGAGATGACAAATTGGTTTAGTTTAGATGATTGAAGCCGATTTTTATTCTTCTGTGCTCAGAGGCTTCTAATAAATTTTGACTATTTTTTCTTTATGTGCTGTTTTAAAGCTAAATTCTTGACTTCATCCTCGTTTAACACAATTAATTATCCATTTATTAGACACAACAAGGTAGAATGTGGCAGATTTGTGTTGATGCTTATGTTGAAACATCATTTTAAAGCTGATAAGAGGCTGCAGCAGCATCCTTATATACCCTGTCCAGGTCTAAAGCTGTTTTCAGCTCTCTCGGGGAGGAGGACACAGGTGTTTACTCGTGTCTTGTCACCCACACTGATGGTGCTTCATCCAGCTACAGTCTCACCGATGAAGGTGTGTTTTAAATATCTGACTTTTTGTAAAATAAAATCATCTTCAGTTGTTATTTTTATATATTCATGAATCTGTTGTTCATCAGAGCTAAAGAGGCTGCTGTTGGTCAGTCACGACCACAAATTCCCCAGTAAGTTCCTCACATCTATTCAAGGATTGTGCTCATTTGTGTGTGTTTTTTATTTAATTCTTGCTTTTCTTTTGCTCTTTCCTTCACATAAGTTATTCCCCTGAAGTCAGATTTGGCTGTGGAGCTGCAGGAGAAGGGCAAAGTTCGCTTTTGGCTGCAGGCGGAGAAGATTTCAGCAAACGGCAAAGTCGATTACGTTTTCAACGACAATGTTCTCACTCAGGGAGAGGTCAGTAAAAGTCTGCTTTGATGCATTTGTAGTTTTTTCTTCTTTTAATCTTAACTTAAAATCCTGTCTATTGGTTTGTTGGCGTCTTTTTGTTTTAGAAATACAAGATGAACTTTGATAAGAACACTGGTGTGATTGAGATGCTCATAGACTCTCTGACTCCAGCTGATGAAGGCACGTACACATTCCAGCTGACGGACGGGAAAGCCACTAACCAGTCCAGCTTGGTGCTGATCGGTGATGGTGAGTTCATATAAGAAAAGAAAGAAAAAATGACAAAATTAAAAGTGCACTTTTCAGTTATTCAGGTTTATGGTCTTAGAATGGCTGATATTTATTTATTTGTGTGTAAAAATATCAGCTACCGGCATTAGAAAAGTCTTCTGAAAGCTGATGAATGCAGATTGAAGCACTGTTGACGTCCCAACACTGGAGGGCAGTAACACATTTAATAATGGAGCTCAAGAACCCATATTTACTGAAGGACAAAGCATTGCTACATGAGTCAAAGTTTACTTTTGACCAGTTCTTACAAATTTGTAATAAAATTTATTATAATCCAGATATGTCAAATCATAAATGCACATATTGTAACTAATTAAACAACTTCAGAAGTAGTTTATTTTTAAGAACCTTTATTTTGAAAAGATCTCATGTCACACCTATTTACAGCCCAATGAGTTAAGAACAGCATGTATTCGATTTGATTGTTTTGCCTGGTTTTGCATGGAGTTACTGATTTGTTTATTAGAAGTTGAGCAGTGGTCCTCGGGGTTCATGGTTAGAATAATCTCACATATTTATTTATTTACTTGTTTATTTACTTGTTGACAGTTTTCAAGCAGCTGCAGAAAGAATCAGAGTTCCAGAGGAAAGAGTGGTTCAGGAAACAAGGTATGCCACTGTTATTTAATTGTATTATTTGTGTTTCTCTTTATCAAAATATAACATCTCATAAAATAATAAAAAGCTGTAAAACTATTAGGAATAAAACAAGTGGATGGTTTTTCTATTAAATCTTATAAACTGAAGAAAGCATTAGTAAAATCAGCATTTGTTGTGCAGGTCCTCACTTTATCGAAGGCTTGGGTTATGAGGTGACACCTGAGTGCTGCGTGATCCTCAAGTGCAAAGTAAGTTTCAGGGAAACGCCCTGCTTCACTTTTATTATTGTATTCCAAACACCTTAAATCTGAAGGCGTCCCTCTGCTTATGCTGCATCACAGGTCGGCAACATGAAGAAGGAGACGTCAGCTCACTGGTACAAAGACGGACATGAGATCAAAGCAGATGAGCACCTCGGCTTTGCTGAGGGAGTTCTGAAGCTGGAGATTGCACAAGTGAGAAAACCAGAATAAAACAGGTTTCATGTATTTGTGTTTATGTTTTTATACTGTGTGCCACTATATAGTACTTCTAAATGTTGGATCCTTCATATTTTGGGACATCTTCAAACCAGTAGTGAGAAAATTGTTCAGTTTCTTGCTGTTTTGCCTTAGATTATTTTTATTGGTTTATGAAAAACTATTTTAATGCATTTTTATTTAGGCGTTAAATAGGTCATATAATGAAAAACACACATTTTCTAAACTTTTGTTCTGATATGTGGGTCTCTACTGCCTCTATAAACACTCCAAATGTGGAAAAAAAATCATTCATCTCATCCGTCAATGTTTGGTTTTAGGAATTATATGCCTAAAATGAGCTGTTTCAAAAAGTGCCAGTTTGTGATGTCACAAACGAGGAAAGTAACATAGAACCATTTCTCATGAGCAAGAGAGAACTCCTGCAGGTGGAGCAGCAGCTCTATTTTGACCTCCTCGATGTTGGAGCTTCTCAGTTTATAGCAGCCTGAGCAGGGAACTGGTGGGCGTGACCAGCTCCAGCTTGTTTTCTTAAAGTGCCAAAACCCTGAAGCGGCTCATTCTGGAAGGTACTGAAAGTGTTAAGAATAAAAATGATGGAATGTTTTTAAGTGAGAAGAATTTTTTGCGAAGAACGTCATAAACATGATTGTATCGACCTTAGAACTATGAGAAATTATGAAACAAAGTAATAATGTTCCCTTTAAGATGAGTGTGATATTTCTGCTTTCATCATCAGATTTCCAGGAAGGATGCTGGTGTGTATGAAGTTGTTCTAAAGGATGATAGAGGAAAGGACACCTCCACACTGAATCTGACTGATCAAGGTGACTTTATTAAAAAATCAGTCAATAAAAAAACTAATTTAATTTACACATTAATGTACCAGTTTTCTCTTTTTACAGGTTTCAAAGACCTGATGAACGAGGTGTTTGGGTTTATTGGTAAGATTGGTGGATTTTATTGTTTGCTGGTTCATTTTTAACACATTTAGGTGCATTAGGAATCTTTTTGTGGTCATCTCTGCAGCCAGTTCCTCCACTCCGCTGAAAATCACAAGCACAGACGAAGGAATCCGACTCTACACCTTCGTCAGCTACTACAATGATTTACTCCAGGTCACGTGGCACTACAAGTGGGTTCATGCCAGCATGCATTCATGATTACACCTTATCCCTAAAACAAACGTTCCAGCTATACCTTCTTTGTAGTAATTTGATACTGTTCATAAAACTGCAGAAATGAACTTTTTATGTCCGACAGGGATTCTGCGATCGCGTTCTCTGACCGCATTAAGAGCGGCGTGGTCGGAGAGCAGCTGTGGCTTCAGATCACTAATCCCACAGAGAAGGACATGGGAAAATACGCCATTGAATTCAACGACGGAAAGGGTGGCCTCAGGAGAACCGTGGAGCTCTCTGGTCAAGGTGAAAACCTCAAAACATGTCTAAGCAATCTTGGTTGCAGAAGAAGCATTTTTAAGGCTTTGCAGACATTTCTCCCTCTGGCTTCAGTTAAAACTTTTGTTCTCTTCCAGCATTTGATGACGCATTTGCAGAATTCCAGAGACTCCAGTAAGTTCCAGCTGAACTTGTTATCGGCCCTTAAATCCAGAATCGGTGCATTTGTAGTTTTTTATGCATTTGAGCAGAATTGTCCATCATTTCACAAAACTAATATCATTACAAACTTTTAAAAGAACTTTTTTTGACTCGAATAGCCTCAACATCAGCCTGAAAGGAGTTTTACACCCTAAACGCTGTCACATCGATGTGGAGGCTGTAAAATGATCCAACACAAGCAGCAATTGGACCATATCTGATTGGCTACTGTTGTCCTCAAACAAAACGACTTGAAATATGAAAATTTGCCATTTTTGGGGGAAAGTTAAAGCAAATGTGGGTCAACGTTGTTACACAAGAGAGTGAAGTCTGTGTGTCCCGCTAAAATAACCAATCTGATTTGGTGTTTGTCTGTTCTTATCCTCAGAGCTGCAGCTGTTGCAGAGAGAAGTAAGTGATTTCTGAGTTAAACATCTGAAGGGTCCGGGTCATCATTTCATCTGCAGTTAGATAAAACGTAGAAAAGCATTTTAATAAAAAAATACACCTTCTGATCAAAGAGGAAATGAAGCGTGATGGCCATTTAGTCAAGCTTTTAAGATTATTAACACCTTCTGTGGTTTATTACTGATGGTCTTCTGTTTACTTTAGGGTTTACAACATTAGAATTAACCTTAATCGGTTTAATATTATTTTCTATATTTGCTTATAGGACACATATGTTAATAGTATAGAAAATATTTAAATAGTTTCTTCTTTTTATAAGATCGTGCTCGAGTAGCAGGAGGTCTGCCAGATGTGGTCACCATACAGGAAGGCAAGGTACTGAATTACAACTAAATATTGAAATGAATTTTTATTGCTGCCAAGAAAAAATCTTACATCTCAATGTCCTCTGGGAGGGTTTATTTGCTCATTTGTGCATCCCCACAGGCTCTTAACCTCACCTGCAACATTTCGGGCAACCCAGTGCCCGAGGTGACCTGGCTGAAGAACGACAGGGAGATCACGTCCGACGAGCACTGCATCCTGAAGTTCGAATCGGGCAAGTTCGCCAGCTTCACCATCACCGCCGTGAACACGTCAGACTCTGGCAAGTACAGCATCCTGGTGAAGAACAAATACGGCACAGAGAGCGGAGACTTCACCGTAAGTGTGTTCATCCCCGAAGACGTGAACAAGAAAAAATAGGAGCGGTCCAAGTCTTATCGTAAATATCTGTAAATGACACGTGAACAGAGAAGGGTTAAAGGTGAAAACATGTGCTCGAGAAAGTGTGACATGTTTGGTGTAGAGTTACGAGAAAATGAAGAGGTGCTGAATCGGAACGTGAAGTTCTGAGATGAATCAGTTATTTGAACACATTTGGTCCAAATCTAACCAAGTAAGTCCAAACACAACTGGTGCGATCTTTGTTTTTGCTAAACTTTAGCATGCAGAAGTACGTTTTGGCATTAGAAGATTAAATCAGACTTTACCTAAAGAATGCAAAAGCCAAAGGTGAATGTTTGTGTGTGTGTGTGTGTGTGTGTGTGTGCTGAAGAATACAATGTAGAATGTTAGAAATATGAATGTTTTTTTACATTTGCTACTCGTTTTATGAACTTCACTGCCACCTAAATTTACAAAATTTAGAACAAATCAGAAAAAATGTTGGTAATTATATCTATCATCATAAAGATGGATGTGTGTGTTTATTTTGCTTTTTAAAAAGCAAATTTAAGTGATCCTACTTATGAATTCTATTAGTTTATATTTTCAGAGGTTTTTCAAATCAAATAAGAAAAAAATCATAATTGATCACGAAGCAACAAAGTCAGAACTATCGGGAATCAACACAAATGTACTTCTGGAAATAACGATATGTTTTATTCAGGAAAATGTCCCATCCAATTACATGGAGGGGGTGGGGCTTTAAACATATACTGCAGTCAGCCAGTAGAGGGCCAGTCATTTTGATTTGCATACTTCTTTTCAGATACTATATATGGTTTTACCACCGCTTTTACTGCATTGCATTCTGGGTAAGGTTTCATGAATATACAGCGACCTGCTGCCTGAAAAATGTGAGGTAGCACCACAATAACTAAAGCTAATGCTAAATATCTCGTGAGAGCAAAACACTTCTCAGCTATGTTGTGGGCATAATTTATTCTGCTCTGGGTAACGTGTAAAAATGACCACTTTTCTAAGATAAAATGCAGATTAAAATTCTAAAACTTAAGCTTCAATTCATCAGATTTTCATTCAGGTTAAAGATCCATCTTTGGTTTAGGAGTAAATGAAATCAGTAGCAAATGTTTGGAAATGTGTATTTTACATCAGATTCTGTGTCTGAGTTGTGTTAGTGTTTTCACTGTCACTTTAAATGTGATCATGACATCACTTTGTCTCACTGTCTCTAGTAAAACTCTACGTCTGCACATGTTTTCCTCTGTTGCCCCGGCAACCCCATCACAGTTCATCATTAGCAGTTGTAGTCTGTTTTGTGGAACTGATGCCACTTCAGTGGAGACTGTGAGTCCCGTTTAATACCAACAATAGTGATTACTGTTTCACTTCCTGTTCCACCTGTTTCCTGATTAGACTAATAAAATTAAGCATGAACTTCCCTACCTTCCTCGTCCTTCTCCTTTGTGAGTTGTCTCACTTTGGTTTCAAACCCTGCACCTCTTCACCTTCCATTTTGATTCACTCTTCCCTCTCCCTGTAGCGCTGGACAGCTCGAAGATTTATCACCAGCATGACAAAACACGTCCTCCGTACTGACTCGGGTGTTTGTTGTAGCACAGCAAAAGGTTTGCCTGATTGATGATGTTCTAGTATTATACTATTTTAGATAGTAGACAAAAGCATCACTAACAGTTTAAATGAAACAGAAATTGAAAATAGATACAGCTTTTGCACCATGAAACTGTGAGGACATTTTAGAAAATCAACACTATAGCATTCTTTGAAGGAACCACCATTAAGTCTTGTTGAGAACTAAGCAAGCCCATGTGGCTGAAATCTCAAAAATAACATTTTGTGAAATATTGTATGTGGTCTTCTGGCATTTGTTGTATATGTTGAGGATGGCTCAACTCCTAAAACATCATATTTTAGCTCAATATCAGTAGAAATAACTGAGTCACTGACACTTTTGTGTTTGATAAGGTCTATTTTCTATGCTGGCCATCTGGAATTGGGCTGACTGCAAAGTTAAAGCTGGGCTTTGTAGCTGAAAAAAAAATGTGAATAACTGTAAAATGCTTGATTTTGACTATCTGACCTGGTTCGGTGATAAAAGCAGGTAAACTTTCACAATTTATAATAACCCTAAATCCCTACCCTGGCCTCTACAAACGGAATCATTTATGCAAGCCTAGAGAATGGACCAATGATCCACAACAGGAAGCTGTCATTCAATGAGAATTCTCCCGAGTTCCCAAATTCCAACTGGTGTCACGCTTAATCAGCATTTTCAGCAGAGCAAGTGATTTTCTTTAACCAATAGCTTAATAAATAGCTTAATCTTTCATTTTGTAATCTTTTTTGAACTTCAACAGTCTGTGATCCAGTGGTGACTAGGTCACCACAAAGTTAGTCTGAAATAAATGGTGAGAGGCATCACACAAAGCAATATAGTGCATGTGAACGAAAGACAGAACATTTCCTGCTGGTGTGGACAGGAGTTGGGAAAATGAAATACTTTTTGGGTTCAGAACTTTTGGTTTGACATTAAGTCTGCAGATGACAGTTTTTAGCATGAATAACCATCATAGTTGCACAGGATTGAGAGGATTTATTTTATAATGTCAGTAATCAAATCCAGAACACACAACAGTCTTAGCTTGGTTCACAAAAGAAAGTTTCTCTCTGAATTTCCAGAGATCATCATCATTTTGGGGTAAGAAGCTGATTACTGATAATGACTCATCAGCACCTCACCTTAAAAACTCAAATATGAAGTGTATGTTTAAATGATTATAGTTTAAAAATAAATCTGACATGATTGAACTTTTCAGGTAAGTTTTGGAAGGATTAAGAGGTGATTATTTCTTATCTGAGAACTTTATTTAGCATCTGCTTTCATGGCGTTTTGTCTTGTATCAGCTTGAGATCACAGAAGGAACATCTGACCTGGGGGTGACTTCCTACTGGACCGATGCAGAAGGAAATGTGGTTTTCGGTCCAAACACCCCTAAAGAAAAGATGCAGACTGCAGCGACAGGGACAAAAAAGCAGAAACGAAAGGGTGAGAGGATTTAGTTTGGGTTTTGATTGTGCATGCAACACCTGAAACATTACAGAATAATGTCATTTGGGTTCTTTTGCAGAATCTGTTGCCACACCTCCTGTTGAAAAGGTGGAAAACAAACAAGGCTGCAACAGCAGGGAGCTGAAAGAGGACAAGGCTGCAGACGGTGCTACAACAGAGCTAAAAGCTTCAGACTCTGAACAAACAGAGGATAAAATAGAAGATGTGGATGAGTCAACGCCGGCTGCATCCTGTGATCAGCCTGCTGAGTCTGCAGAAGAGCATGATGCCACTGAATAAGATCACAAATCACAGTTGATCCTATGTTGGCTTATTTAAAGAAAGGATTTCTGTACAAGTTTCCCACTTTTTAATTGATTTTTGAAAGACTACTGTTAACCACACATTATGAATTGGATTTGTGCTTTAAAACATTTATGTTTGAGTTAAAAATTATATTGGCACATTTGTTGTTTCATCTCTTCATTATTTGCATTAATATCTTTGAAAGTGACAGAAGGACAGAAGAAAATAGTAAAGAAAAGTGAAACTGAGCAGAATTTGTTTTAGTCAAACATTTGGAGATGTGTTTTAGAATTATTTATTTTTGTCCATCCATTCTCTTCCGATTATCTGGAGTCGGGTCGCAGGGGCAGTAGCCTGAGCAGAGAGGCCCAGACTTCCCTCTCCCCAGCCACTTGGATCAGCTCCTCCGGAAGAATCCTAAGGCCATTCCCTGGCCAGCCGTGAGTCTCACGTGTCCTGGGTCTTCCATTCGGTCATCTCCTGGTTGGACGTGCCCAGAAAACCTCATCATTGAGGCGTCCAGAAGGCATCCTAATCAGATGCCCGAGCCACCTCAACTGGCTCCTCTAGATGTGAAGGAGCAGCGGGTCTACTCCGAGCCCCTCCGGGATGACCGAGCTTCTCACCCTATCTCCAAGGGAGAGCCCAGACACCCTGGAGAGAAAACTCCTTTTGGCCACTTGTTTCTGCAATCTCATTGTTTCAGTCACAGCCCAAAGCGGACCACCACCCAAGTCTGCCAATCCAGTGGAACTGCCTCGGATGTCCACGTGATATTGCAGAGCTGTGTCAGCCAGCACAACCCTACAACATCCAGAGCCTTAAGGAACTCTGGGCGGATCTCATCCACCCACAGAGCATTGCCACCAAGGAGCTTTTTGACCACCTCAGTGACTTGGAAGATGTGCCGGTGGGATTGAGAAGGTCTTCAAAGTACCCTTGCCCACTGTCTTTCTAATGTCTTCCTAAAATGTTCTCTCTTTAGATCTTATAATTTCTTCTCATTTCCAACATTTGAATCCCAGCTTCAGTTGTTGGACAAAATAATCCATTTATAAGAAATTAGAAGATTAAATTTAATTTTATAATCAAGTTTAAAAATTGCTCTGATTGGATTTAGAAAACATCAAAGGGTTTAAATCAGTCCAGCTGTGTTGTTCCAGTTTGTCCTT